TGTGGGGGGGTTCTGGGCACCACCAAAATTTCTACAACCCTGCCACCCATGTGAGTGGATAAGGGTCGGGGCAGTCAGGGGACAGGTAGGGTTCTAGGGGGGCAGTTAGGGTGGGGGGTTCTCAGGAGGGGGCAGTCAGGGGACAAGAAGCAGGGGGGGTTGGGGTTCTGAGGGGGGCAGTCAGGGGGTGGGAAGTGGGAGGGAGTGGATGGGGGCGGGGTGGGGCTTCCCCCCCCCCCCATTGTCCTCTTTTTTGATTGTGGAAATATGGTAACCCTAATATATACATACAGAACATGAAAAGGTGATTCATACAGGGTACCTGCCTCTAAATGCCTTTCTTTCATATGTAAACCCACCCTACTCTGCAACACTAGCAGGAAATTTTGATCAGTTGCCAGCAGTAACTTAGGATGGATTTCCAGTCATAGTTTGAGTTGTTTTGTGGAGGGTGTGTTGCACTGTGGTAGTGAATCCCCCCCTTGAAGCTTGGGACGAGCCTTTTCTGTGACTCTTATGGACCTTCTGAACTACCATTTGATTGCAGCATATGTTCTGAGATCATACCACTTAACATTCTTTAACCCTCATTGTATGTTCAGACTCACTTTCTAATTCCCAAATTATTTTTCATAGTGGGTATGCCATCTTAATACGAGGTGGTGGTCCATGAGAGAAATACTCTTTAAGATTGTATAGAAACCCTATAGAAACTACAGCAGTCGCTTGCCTAAAAATGTCATATTTGGTATGTGTTTAGGATGATATTTTGAAAAGTACATGGCATTGGCCAGACTCTTCTCCCATTTAAGTCAATGGCCATTAATTCCAGTGGTAGAGTTGACTAACACTAATTGCTTTTGAAAATACCTCCTTTTCTGTATTTTTAGCTCTCAGTGCAATAAATACTATCTTACCGCCTTAGTACAGTAACTCCTCGCTTAACGTTGTAGTTATGTTCCTGAAAAATGCGACTTTAAGCGAAACGATGTTAAGCGAATCCAATTTCCCCATAAGAATTAATGTAAATGGGGGGGTTAGGTTCCAGGGAAATTTTTTTCACCAGACAAAAAACTATATATTATATAGATATACACACAGTATACGTTTTAAACAAACAGTTTAATACTGTTCACAGCTATGATGATTGTGAAGCTTGGTTGAGGTGGTGAAGTTAGAGGATGGAAGAGGGAGGGATATTTCCCAGGGAATGCCTTGCTGCTAAATGATGAACTAGCACCCAGCTGAGCCCTCAAGGGTTAACACGTGTGTGAGGCAAGTGTGTGCTTGCCTCACACAAGGCAGCACGAACACGAGGAAGGGGAGACAGCATAGCACATAGAGACAGACACACACCTTGTTTGTGGGAGAGAGATGCACACTGCCCCTTTAAGTAAGCTGACCCACTCTTAAGTGCATTGTCTTTTAAGTGGATCAGGAAGTTGAGACAGCAGCTGCTGCCCCAAGCTCTCTCTGTCTCTCTCCGTCCGTGTCTCCTCCCTGCTCTATATGGAGAAGGGACAAGCGGGGTGCAGGAGCAGGGGGAGGGGACACCCTGACATTAGCGCCCCACCCTTCCCCCCCTGCACAGCAAGCAAGAGTCTCTGGGAGCAGCTCCAAGGCAGAGGGCAGGAGCAGCACATGGCAGTGGGGGGAGGGACAGCTGAATTGCCAGCAATTGATAGCCTGCTGGGAACTTAGGGGAGCGGGGAGCTGATAGGGGGGGCTGCCGGTCCACCCTGGTTACAAGCCCCCACCAGCTAGCTGCAATGGACTGCTCTTCCTGCAAGCAGTGGACAAAGCAGGCAGCTGCCAAACGATGTTAGAAGGGAACATTGCACAACTTTAAATAAGCATGTTCCCTAATGGATCAGCAACGAAACAATATTAACTGGGACGACGTTAAGTGAGGAGCAACAGAGAGTCCTGTGGCACCTTTAAGGTGTCACAGGACTCTCTGTTGCTTTTTACAGATCCAGACTAACACGGCTACCCCTCTGATACTTTAAGTGAGGAGTTACTGTATTAGTTTGACTAAATGGATTTCTCTAAGTGAAAACTAAAGGAAAGTCCTGCAAATGTTCATCCAATAAAATAATGCTGCTGACTAAGGGCTTCTCAGATGCATATTGGCATACATACTTACAAAAAGTGGAATAAGTAAGGGTTTGAGGTCTGCCAGTCTCCTAACTACATTTTGCACCAGCCTGACGACTCTGAATGTTTGCTGGGATACTGCAATTCATACCGGGGCTGTAAAGGCCCTGCAACCAATCAGAGAAGAATTTCCCTGGCACAGACATGGCATAGGGCTACCATAAACAGGCCTTTATTGGATGCATCACAAGCCCCAGTACAGGCTGCCTCCAAGAGGAGATGGGGAGATGGAACCATCCATAGGCTGCCAGGGATGGTTAAAGTATCTCCCTGGACTGCCTAAATTATTCTGGGGCCATGAAGCAGCCTGGAACCAAGAAAATGGCTTAAAGACACCTTTGCCTTTTCTTCCCCAGGACTACAAGTTCTGTGCTTTGTCTCTTGGAGGTGCAGCACAGAATCTCCCCCTCAGAGTTTAACCTATATAAAACTAATATTTGTCAGAAATGTGGATATGGAAACATAGCTTAAACCCATATCTACACACACATACCGATATGGTACAAGTTTTGCTATTGTAGTGCATGGCAGTATCCCCCCACCCCCCTTTTTTTTTCTTCTTCAAGTTATGCACTTTTCTTTCCCTTTCTCTTCAAAAACACTTATTATCCTAATGTGGAATTAACTGTGGAACACTACCAAAATCAAATTTCTTCTTGTCTTACACTTTATTTTCTGCTTGTTTTGTTTCCACAACAGTCTAGATTATTCCTTTTCTACTTCTCACAGTTTTGGTTTTGATTTGGGAGAGAGAAATTAGTGATTGTAAGAGTGATAGTGAGTTTGAGCTTAAATTTTTGATCTCTAGTGAATGTGATGCTTTTGAAAGATGTTGGTTTAACAAAGATGAAATCCTCTGCCTTACCACTGAACAAATACAGTACTGACAGCGATGGTAGCAAGAGTCTAATTCTCCTCTTATTTATACTGCTTGTTTGTAATTTTACGAGAGGTTGGCCTTAAAGATTTCCTCCAATATTTTATCTCCTTTTTAAATCCTTTTGGACAGACTTTGGATTGCAGCACTATCTTCTTTTTTCCCTTCTGTGAGAGGATTCAAGAGGCTCCTACGACCTGTCAAAGCCTGTCCTTTGAATAATTTCTGTGGTGCACTTAACTCTTCTGCTGGCTCTTTGAGCTTGTTGTCTCTGCACACTTCACTTCTTGGGATGTGCAGTTGCTGAAAATTTAAGGCCTCTTTGGTGCTACCACTAAGCCACGATCAGCCTTTTAAAGGGACACTGTCAAGTCATATAATTTTTATGTAAATAGCTTTTTAGATGGTTATGATCCTGTAACCCTTCAGAAAATGAAAACTGATTTTTTTGTCTTGAAACCTGCATGCTTTCTCCAGTGTTCCAACCCTCCTCTACATGCTCGTTTCTACGTAAAACAATAAAGTTTGTTTACAGATCCTCTGTGCCCCAAATTGGTGATAACACAGCAGTGCCTGAACATGATCAAAGTCTACCTGCATTCCCTTTTATTCTCTTTAAAAGAGAACTATGTGATGGGATATTTATTACATATGTGAGTTTTATTATATCACTGTTTAATAATAAAATATATTTAATTTTGCTTTCCTTACAGTAATCCCATATCTCTTTACTTCCACAATACCTGCTTGAGTATTTTCCCCCATCTAGTCCTTTTGCTTGCTCTGACCAATTTCTCCTACACTGTGCAGTTTCCTCATATATACCCAGACACGGTTTATTGTGAGAGTCTAGCACCAACTGCTGCTTGGAGGTGTAAGGGGCTTTTGGACAGTGACCTCAGTAACTATTACTCTTGAGGTGAGAAGGGGGCTTATGAGTGCTGGAGGCCTCCTTGAAGAGAGGGGGGAATTCTTGCGGGATGAAGGAACTCTCCTGATATATCAGTGACTTGTGTGGTGGGGACTTTGGTCTAGTGACAACAGTGACTCCTTGGAAGCAAGGACATGGTACTTAAAGCTGCTGCTGCTGCTTAGCCCTTGTAGGGAGAATTTCTCTCAGGCCAGCGATTCCTAATTCTGCCCTAAGCTTCCCAAATAATTAAGGAATCATTACTGCTTCCATGGGTCAGGCAGCTAAGGAGCCTATGGTATCTGCTCCTTTCTTCTAGCACATCAGGAAACTGGTTGTATTTACATGACCCTTCTCAGGCTGACATTTTGCAAACACCAGCCTTGAGCTGTTTCCCTGCTTAATAAAATGAAAGAGTACATTTTAAAAGAATGGGGGTAAAAAACTCCATGAATTTAAAATTACCAATTGTCACTTGAAAGTCCTTTACATTTTTTTTTATAGTGTATAAAGTGGTGACAAATGGTAAGAATTCTTGAGTTTGCTAATTCACAGAATGGGAAACGCTCTAGCTTCAGTCATTTTTTGCACAAAATTAGTAAACGTTTGAAAACAAATTCTCTCTCAACCTGCCAGGAGACCCTGTAAGATACTGCCTTGATCTTAAAGTGAGATGGGCAAGCAGATTGAAGAGTTGATAGATTAATGAACAATAATAATAAATATCAGCAATGGTGCAACTAGTTGAAACAAAAGTTTCAGTGACAGTGAAGTTCCTTACCACCTTTATATCATTGTTACTGCTAGGGATTCCTTTTATTTTTATAGTATTTTTAATCTTTTGTGGTGGGGGAGGCATGAGTTTTTTGACAACTAAAACAGGTATATAATCCTGTAAATAGTGGTTTTGGTTGGCTATAAAATGTAGTTTAAAATACTTGAAATCTGGTACATCACATGGGGCATCTTGAGTGTATTTTTAACTTTGCTGCTAACCTAATCATTTGTGAAGTAGAAATATCAGTTATGGGAATATTGTATTTTTGCACTCTTTAGGTAGAAGCTGTCTCAGACAAATGGGAAAACTATAGCAGTCCTACTTACGACTCTTCTGAATTAAAAACTAAAATGTTAACTGGCAATATTACATCTCTTACTGAAGATGGTGGCTATATTAATAAGACAACTTCTTTCTCCATGGACCAGGTTTGTGAAGGTATGACTTGAAAAAAAAAAAAAAATCTTGATAACCATTTTAATGGTCTCGAAAGTCTTGTGTGTTAAGTGTCTAGTGCACATTACAAGAATTTATATTTCAAATAGCAGATAATCCGTATTAGAGTAAAAGTAATAACTGGGATGAAGACTGATTTTTTTCATATTTGTGAGTGTTGTAAACTGAGCTCTAAATCACTTTAATTGAAAGTAGGTTTTCTTTATGTGAGAGGTAATTTCTTCTCACAGTAGGTATAGCCCACCCTTTCTCATTTTAAATATAGAGAAATTAGTGAAATTTAATACTTCTTTGAAAATAAACATGTTAGTATATAAAAAGGATTGACTCCTAACTCTGGTCCAGGGTGTCCCACACATTTCATTTTAAAACCCTATTTTCAGGCAGGGTTTTACACTTATCCAAAAAAAAAAAAATGTTGCTACAGGCTGAAACTTGCTGTAAGAGGCCCCTTCCTGAGGGAATGCAGCTGTGTGATTTCATAATTATTGCATTCAGTGTAGAATCTACACCTCTACCCCGATATAATGCTGTCCTCGGGAGCCAAAAAATCTTACCGCATTATAGGTGAAACCGTGTTACGTCGAACTTGCTTTGATCTGCCAGAGCACGCAGCCCCGCCCCCCTGGAGCGCTGCTTTACCGCGTTATATCCGAATTCATGTTATATTCGGTCGCGTTATATCGGGGTAGAGGTGTATCTCTTTCAGGTGCTATTTTGCACTCCTGTAACTTAAACTTTTAAAATAATGTATATCTAATAATTAGGTTTATTTTATTTTTTTAATTTGTGGCTAAAATTTAGCCAAATTTACAATACATAAGTTGTAGTCCAAAGTCTGTTCATCTTTGTTTTATCACTGTGTGACTCCTGAAGTTTACTGTTGAGTGGTAGTAAAGCTGTAACACAAGTAAAAGTATTAAGTATGTGAAGCTAAGGCTACACGACGGCTTAAGTCGACATAAATTATGTCACTTAGGGGTGTGAAATAGCCACCCCCCTGAACGACATAATTTATGTTGACTTAACGTTGTCCACACTGATGCTTATGTCAGTGGGAGAGCTTCTCTTGCCAACATAGCTACCGCTGCTTGCAGGGGAAGGGTGTGTGTGTGTGTGTGCAGGGGCTGGATTAATTAAACTGACAGGAGAGCGCTCCTCCGTTGTTTTAGAGCAGCTACACTAGACAGCTTACAGGGACACAGCTGCAAGCTCTCTAGTGTAGCCATAGCCTGAGTTTGATGATGCTTTGGCCTTTAAACAACTCCCCTATCAGTGATTAGCAAATGTTGTGACTTTCTTTGGATCACAGTTTGATCAGAGATCTTTTCATTGTTGCTAGCCATCTGAAAGCTTTTAAATTGTAAAATTAAATTACATTTTAATTAATCTTCATTGTTTACTGCGATGAACTTTTAAAAAAACTTATTTCAGACACTTAGTAAAATTCAGTAGCTATTTTTTTTTCAAAACAAGCTTTAAAATCCTCTGTGTGGCCAGCTCTGCATAGGCTTCATGCTGCTGGCTGACATGACAGCTTGAACAGTGAATGTTTCTCCACAAAGTAGGGTGGGCTATCCAAAGCCACCTGTGTAGATACTTGGCGCCTCCATGTAGCTGTACTGACTTCAGTGGAGTTCTGTACAGATGTAGGTGGCTTCCTGTGCAGAACTTGTTGCCAGATTAGGGCCAACATTTGTGTCTTTAGAATGGTACTCCTTAATCTGTGTTAAGTATTAAAGACAAAGGTTTATCCCTAGCAAGTGTACCTTATGAATTAAATTCCCCCCTCCCCTGTCAAAAAGTTGGTGCACTCCCAGTGAAGTCTCAGCCTGTTGCAACAGTCCATCAGGCAACAGGGTGGGAGCTCATGGGCCTGATTTTTGGTAGACACAAAAAATAAAACAAAATTAAAATTAAGTGCTGAAGTTCTCTGTATCTCCTGTTACGTGTAGCACTCAATATATAGTGCTGTAATAAGTATACTTTTAACACATTTTAGCAGGTAACTTTAAAGTTCCTTAAATTATGTCAAATCAAAATGCCCTCTTATAGCAAAAACACTACACACTTCCACAAAGTTACACAACTGTCTTTTTATGACAACTTAACTTGCAAAAATGTCACTGTTTTTGTAGGCTTCGAACCTTGTAAAGGTGACTGGGTGCAAGCTGAATATTTTATTAACCCAACAACATGGAGCAGTGAAGCAGTTTCTGTAAAGCCACTGAGATATAAGCGAGTGGACAAAGTATGTATTTTGCATATTGCTCTTGGCATTTGGCAGAGGAATATTCACGCTGTACTGTGGGAGGAAAAATGTCTGCTTATCTTAGTAGGTCTACTATAGTATTGATAGTGCCCTTTGTTTTCAGTTTTTATTGTATTTAATTTTTCCCAGGAATTTATTGGTGTTTATTACTACAACAAAAACCACTGAAAATCGGTGCAAAAAACTATTAATTTTTCTAGGTAAATATCGGGATTTATTTTGGTGGATGTAAGGATGGTGGGGAAAGTACTCAGTAGATTAATGCTTTGAATGGAATTCAGTGTGGTTTGCTGCAGAACTAAAACAGAACTCAAAACACAATGCCACCTCTGAGTTTAAGAAAACAATATATCTCTAATCCCTAAATAAAACTTTGAATAATGTTGAAACCATTATCTGCTAACAGTTTGAAACGTGTACATGGTAGGCGTAAGATTTATCATTATGTTCAGATGTGCATGCACTTCAGAGCTTGCGTGGGTGCCTGTTTGTTTATTGTGTGTATCTTCCAGACTAATACATAGCCTTACTTCAACAGGCAGCTTTGCATATACACACAGACTAATGTATTATCGTAATACGTATATCTCATGCAATGTATTGTATTTTCCTAGTAAAACAAGTTATTTTTTATATTTTTGAATGATACAAAAGTAGGGGGAAAATCAGGGGGGAAAATAATACTTTTTGTAAAATGCAGGGTTGTTTTTTTTGTTTTGTTTTTGGTTTAAACTGAAAATGAAGAGGCTTAAGTATTTGACAAGTATTCAGCTGAAAGATAAAAGAAAATTAAGTTCATTCTAATGCTCATGTGTTGATATGGGATTATTTCTAGAACAAAGTTGGGGGGAGGTGAATCTTAAATGTGTTGTGGGAAATTTTGTTATTTTTATTGGTTGGCTTTTGTGGTTTTAGCTACCAACCACTTGTTGAGAAATACCCAAATCATACTGTCATACACAGACCTGCTCATAATTCATCTATACTTACACTTGATCCAAAACTAATGAATATCATTATTCAAATGCTGTGCTTATTATTATGTTTGCTTTAAAAGTCTTCCAAGCGCTCTGGGTTATAAAAGGACGCTTATCTTTTTTGGTGAGTGAAAATGTTACTATTCCTTCTTGAGTCACCACATATCCAGTATATCCACAAATAAGTCTTTACAGGTGTTAAGTCAGTTGAGTGTCCAATTAAAAGATAAAACTGTCAGCTTACCAAACTGGTGAAAAGTTTTAGGTTTTACTGTTCTCTCATTTCCACTACTTCCATGGAAGGGTGAGGGAACTCTTCGATGGCTATGGTATCTTGAAGCTCAATAGCCAGCCATAAATGTACTATAGCTATGGTTAAAGCATGATTTTTACCCTGCACATGTAATTGCTTGTGTTTGGGTACTTTTAAATTTAAGGAAACACTATAGTGATTACTACCTTAACCTCTTTCATAGAAATATTGCATATTAAATCTATAGACATTCTGTGAAATGCCTGGGATTCAGTTTTCTTCAATTATAAACATATTTGATACATGTACTATTCTGTGATGATTGTTTTAAAACAGGGATTCTCAAACTGGGGGTCGGGACCCCTCAGGGGTTATGAGGTTATTACATGGGGGGTCGTGAGCTGTCAGCCTCCACCCCAAACCTCGCTTTGCATCCAGCACTTACAGTGGTGTTAAATATATTAAAGTGTTTTTAATTTAAAAGGGGTGTCGCACTCAGAGGCTTGCTATGTGAAAGGGGTCACCAGTACAAAAGTTTGAGAACTACTGTTTTAAAAGTTACTGCCTAAGCCAATTAAGCATGTGACATGCAATAAGACTTGTGTAAATGTTACAGGTTCGTATTTCCAGTATTTGTGGAAGAATTGGCGTAGTAGATGACAGTATATTTTTCATTCTGGATTCTCTGAGACTTCCTGATGGTTATTCACCTCGTAGACATGACCTGGTCAATGTGGTGGTTGTGGAGAGTAACCAGTCATGTTACATTTGGAGAGCACTCTGCATGGCTCCCTCAGACAAGAATGGGTAACTTCTCATGTTTGAAGTTAAACATAACTCTTTTTTCAGAAGGGAAAGGAAATAACATGATTTATGCTCCCACAACTTTTTAAACCTGTTTTTAAAAACCCTCGTTGAGCCCTAGTAGGAGGTTCATTCTGATGACCATGGTTCAATTTAAATTGGTTTATAGGGACATGCTGCAGAACTGTGTTCATCACCTTGAAATGCTTCCTGTAGCACTATGTCCTACTAACGGTCACTTGTGACAGCAACACTATACAGCTGTTTTGGTGTCCCTAAAGCTCCTGCTTATATTCTTGATATTCTGTACTACCATGCAATTCATTTGTATTCTTCCTTATTTTGTTTTCTAAATTTGTCATTTCTTTTATTTCTGGATGAAGTCCATAGTACTAAACTACTGCTTTAATTATCTGTTTTTAAAAATAGAGCTTATGGATTGTCTTCTACTTGCCAATTTTAGCATATTCCCCAGTATCGTAAAGGGTAGGGATGAATATCTGTCCACTGTCACAGCAGTGGGAGACATCTAGTGGGGGTTGAGTGTAATTTAAAAACCAAAAACTTTTTTATTAAAGAAAAGCTGCACTGATTTTTTTTCTTCTGTTGCCTTAGATAACTACAGAAAATTCATTTCAATCAGAATATGTAATTTCAGGTATTTTTCATTACTGCTTTGAAATTCCCTCAATATGAGTTGAACATCTTTGTAATACTGAGGGTGGAAAATGTAATTTTTACTGATAATTTAGACATAGCCAGAAAGATCAGAGTTGCAGTCACTGATACTGATGGGGAAACTGCAGGTGGGGGTATTTTTTGATTTTTGGTGTGGGTTGCATGTTACCTTTTTTTTTTTTTTTTTTTTTTTTTTAAGTTTAGGCTGACATCAGCAGTCACCTTTAAAATGTTGTAGACAAACATAAAGGGACTCCCATGAAGCCAGCAGCAGAAGAAGGAAACTTATGAGAATTGTCCCAACCCAGTCATTTCACTTTGTACCCGATTCTAAAGCTGCTCCTGGCAATGGGCCATAAGAAGTTGCTCGTGGAAAAACTGCCCTGTTTGCTGATTTGGGGCCTGGTTTAACTCCCAGTGAAGTCAATAGGTGTCATCCCACATACTTTAGTGGGAGTTGGACCAGGCCTTTGAGGGTGGGTAGGTTGGTTCCAAGCCATTACAGGCTACATCCAAGATTTTTGACCTCTCTAAAGAAAGGCTGTGTGGGTGTAATACATACATATTTTTTAAAATCATTGCTTCCCCTAGTAAATGTAACTGGATAGCTCGGGGGTCATGGTAGATGGCTGAGAAAGCATTTTGGGACTTCTATACTCAAACACTGAGGAAAATACTTAAGTTTGTTGGATCTTTAAATGTAATATTTATTTTTATATTTTCCTGAGTCTACCCATGTAACTTTGATTCAACACAGTGTCATTATGACTTTTACAGACTATCTGCCCCTAGTGAAATGAACTTGGATGAGTCATATGAAAATTTAATGAGAGACAAAGGAGGACTGGAGGTGTCAAGAATGACTAACTTTGGAACGCTTAAGCTAGGGGAGAGTAAAAACATGGTCATTTGGATAGAGTAAGCTCTCTAAATTATTCTCTTATAACTGTTTCCCTTTTGACTGTGCTATTTCTTCTTCTTCTACCATTCCTGACACTCTAAATTTCAGACCTTGAACATATCTAACGTCCCCTTTTTTAAAGAGGGAGAGACAGGATCAAAGTTGAGTCGCATCCACGTTGCTCACCTTAATGGTCACCATTAAACAGTCAACCTTTACCAGTAGCTGGCACGTCGTGGACTCTGTTCCAACAGTTATTTCCTAGTCTAAATACAGAGGAATATTGTATAACCTCTGTCGATCTGCTATGCTGTACTAGAACCTAATCCATGGGTCCTACTTACATTAGCTTATATTAAAACTTCACAGATAACTTAATCCCCTGGTTTATCCTTTTATTTTATTTTTTATTTTATTTTATTTTATTAATTATTTATTTATATTTGTCTTACTTTAGTTATCCTGAAAATTCTTCTCAATGGAGTTGATATGCATGCCACACTTCAGTGAGGGTGGATGTATTGGAGTGTAACTGAATTTGATTCTGTCTTGATTTGTGTGTTCTGTGTTGCAAGTAACCTCTTTTTCTCAGAAATGTTATTTACAGATAACTGTTTAATTACTTCTAGGAATAAGGGAAATGTACCACATTCCTTAATCAGCTGCAGACTAGCTGGCTGGGAAAAAGAGAAGCAGTTTAGCTTTCAGTTGCCTGAAAAAGGCCAGAAGACTCCAACAGCATTTTTGTCATCATCTGTTCCTGTGAAACAAGAGAATTTGTCAAAAGGGAGCATCAATTCACTCAATAACAGTAGAGAACCTACGTGCCAGCCATTGAATAACGCATTTGTTATGAATAATGGAACCCCACGGGGTATGTGTGAGATAATCATACACGTATGTAATGTCTAACGCTTTAAAGGCCTGTATGTTCCTTCAGTAGGACCTTGCATGCCCCACTTGTCAGTAAATAAGAACGTAAGAATGGCCATATTGGGTCAGACTAATAGTCCATCTAGCCCGGTATCCTGTCTTCCAACACTGGCCAGTGCCAGATGCTTCAAAGGGAATGAATAGAACAGGCCAGTTATCAAGGATCCCTCCTCTGTTGTCCAGTCCCAGCATCTGGCTTAGGGACACCCAGCACAGGGGTTGCATCCCTTACCATCTTGGCTAATAGCCATTGATAGAACTATCCTCCATAAATATATCTAATTCTCTTTTGAATCCACTTAGTTTTCACTTGAACTTGTTGCCAGGGGAAGTTGTTGAATGGGTTAACTGTGCATTGTGTGAAAAAGTACTTCCTTTTGTTTGTTTTAAACTTGCTGCCTATTATTTAATTGGGTGGCCCCTGGTTCTTGTGTTTATGTGAAGGAGTAAATAACACTTTCACTTTCTCCACACCATTCATAATTTTATAAACCTCTGTCATACAGTAATTAAAGCTTACTGTGATCTGTCTATTTACTACAGAAGGAATTAATCCTAAGGATCCAGATTTAGCAAGAGAGAATGAAGATCTTGGTAGCAGAGAAGATGAAAATCTGTGCAGTGGAGAAAATGGACAAAATGTGGAAGAACAGCCAACAGTTGAGACAGAAGCTAATGGGGAAATCTTCATACCGCCTGATGGAAAGACTTCCATTGTGATCATATGCACCGCAGTGTATGTGTGGTTTTGTTCTTTTTAAGCTGCTCTGCTGAAGGAAGCTTAAAGATGAGATATTACCCTCAGATTTGCAGGCACTTCCCATTGCAGTCAATTGGAGAAGTGCATGTGTATATGTGAAGGCAGAATTGGTCCAATCCTTTTTGAACTTACAAGGCAGCAACATAATACTTTAATTTTTAGGTCAGTCTGCCTTTTAAACATCTAGTTCTTCTTCGAGTGCTTGCTCATATCCATTCCCATGTAGGTGTGTGCATACCGCGTGAACAGTCGCCGAAAGATTTTTCCCTCAGTGGTATCTGTCAGGTCGGCTCCAGCAACCCCTCGAGTTGCATCCTCATGGTGCTGTATATAGGGGCCTGCTGACTCGTTGCCCCCTCGGTTCCTTCTTTCTGCCTTGGATGGTTGCTGGAACTGCTCATTCTTGCTCTGCAAGTACTCCCCAGTGGACTTTTCTTGTTCTTGTACTTTTTCCTGTGAAAAGTTTAGTAGTTAGTGTTACAGTTAGTAATAGTTGTTAGTGTAATGAAGGACCCCACTTAACCGGGTTTTTTCCCACCCAGGCACCGGGGCATGCCTTGGTTTCCCGGGTGTAAGCCGTGTGAGCTTGCCATAAACCTATGCCTCTCAGTGACCCCCACTCTAGTTGTCTCAGGTGTTTGGGTGAATCTCACCTGTGTGATTGGTGCAGGATCTGTAGAGGTTTTAAGCCCCGGACTCAAGGAAAGGGAGCAGAGGCTAAAATTCCTCTTAATGGGTGGCTCTTCATCCTTCTTGGAGCCGGGTTACTCCAACTCAGCACCACAAGGTGCACGCCGGCTTCCATGGGGGACAGGCACTGCATCCCGGCCTCCCAGGCACTGAGGCAAGATTCCTCGTTGGCATGGCATGACTCCACAGTTTGCTGGTATAGAGGAGGTCGGTACAGGAGAGTGCACGGGCATCGCTCCCACTCCCTGGTCCTGTGCAAGAAGAAGCGGAAAACTGATAGGGGCACTCCCCTACCTCGAAGCCCACCGGCCATAAAGACTCCAGCAGAGTGACACCCATGCATGGTCACTTGGGCTCAACAAGTGTTGCTGCAGTAACATTGACTCCTGCCACAGAAAGGGAACCATCAAGTCTGGTGCTATAGGAACACAGGAATGGCACTCCTGTCCACACTAGAGGCATTCTAGGCAGCACGGGTCTGATGTCCCTCTTGGTATCACCGTCGCCACCTAGTTGTGAGCCAGCACCAGAGACAAGAGCAGCTGCGACACTGAGGCAAGTCCTGTCAGCCAACTCAGCTGCAAGGACCATGGCATCGGCAGTGGTGATGCAGAGATCCTCCCGGTTGCAGGCCTCGGGCCTCCCTCACAAGGTGCAGCAGACTATTCAACACTTGCCTTTCAAAGGCACAGCGCTGTTTTTCGAGCAAACAGACGCTAAACTGCACAGCTTGAAATACTTCAAGGTCATGCTGAAATCTTTGGATCTGCACACCCTGACCCCACCAATAAAACATTTCAAGCCACAATCATTATCTCCGTTCTAGCAGTCGCAACTAAGACAGAACTATGGTAGAAGGAGGGACAGGAATTACAAGAACAGACCTCCTCCCCAGCCTTCCTCGACCCAGGGATCTGGGCCCACCAGGCAATCATCGGGTGCCAAATAGGTGTTTTGAGGATGTGCCCGAGGACAGTGTAACAGAGCTTCACCTGGATCCAACCTCTCCTATTTCTGTGGACCGGCTATCCCACTTCTATCAGGCATGGGCCCATATCACCTCAGATCATTGGGTGCTACGCATGATAGGACTGGGATACATTCTAGAATAGAGTTATTCCCCTCCTTCCCACCCTTCCTCCCTGTCCCTCTTCAGGGACCCTTCTCACGAGCAACTCCTACTCTGAGAGCTGTGAACACTTCTGCAACTGGGAACGGTAGAGGAAGTTCCTCTGGAGTTAAGGGGCAGGGGATTTTAGTCCTGATATTTCCTAATCCCCAAGGCTAAGGGCAGTCTCAGACCTATTCTAGACCTGGAAAACCTCAACAAATTCATGAAGAAGCTGAAGTTCCACATAGGCTCCCTGGCCTCCATTATCCCCTCTCTGGATCCAGGAGACTGGTATGCTGCCCTCGACTTGAAGGAGGCATATTTTCACATCTCTATAGTCGTGGACTACAGACGATTACTGCTATTCATGGTGGGACAGGGGCACTACCAGCTCACAGTATTGCCATTCAGCCTTTCAGAGGTCCCTTGGGTCTTCACAAAGTGCATGGCAGTAGTTGCGGCCTTCCTGAGAAAACAAAGAATACAGGTGTATCCTTACCTCGACAGCTGGCTGGTCAGAGACTGGTCCAGAGCTCAGGTGAAAGAGCACATCCAGTTAATACTGTCAGCCTTCTAGATGGTAGGCCTGTTGCTGAATACACAAAAGTCGACCCTTGTCCCTTTTGGATAGAGTTTATAGGGGTTGTTCTCGACTCAGTCCAGGTCAAGGCCTCCCTCCCAGAAGCCAGATTCCAGGTGCTGACTTCTATCATAGACCGTCTCAGAAAACATCCCACCACCTCTGCGAGGACCTGCCTGAAGCTTCTGGGACACATGGCATCGTGCACATATGTGGTAAAGCACACAAAGCTGCGACTCAGACCGCTGCAGGCCTGGCAAGCAACAGTTTACTGGCCAGGCTGCAACCTCCTGGACAAAGTTTTCACACTTCTCCTTCGGTGATCAACTCCCTCTTATGGGGGCTGGATCCAGGGGTGGTTTGTGCAGGCATTCCATTCAGGAAACTGCAGCTATCGATGCTTCAGAGTTGGAATGGGGAGCTCACCTGGGGGACCACAGAACTCAAGGTCTCTGGTCCCAGGAGGAGCTCCTGCTACACATCTATGTGAGAGAACTCCGAGCAGTGCGTCTTGCTTGTCAAACATTCCAGCCCCGTCTAGAGGGCAGATGTGTGTCGGTGCTTATAGATAACATGACAGCAATATGCTATATAAACAGATAGAGTGGAGCGCGCTCTTCTCACCTATGCCAGGAAGCTCTCCACTTACAGGAGTTCTGCATAACCCACTCAATACACCTCGAGGCTTCTTACCTTCTGGGAGCTCAGAACAAGTTAGCGGATCGTCTCCGCAGATCCTTCTCCAATCACGAGGGGTCCATTTGCCTGGATGTCATAGGGAATATTTTCCAGAGGTGGGGAACTCCCCATATAGACCTGTTTGCGATAAGATACAACAGGAAGTGTCTGCAGCTCTTTCCAGAATCACAGTCCAGGCTCGCTCACAGATGCGTTCCTTCTTCCCTAGAAGGACCATTTTCTCTATGCATTCCCACCTATTCCGCTTATAGACAAGTTTCTGCTGAAGGTCAAAGGGGACAAAGCGAGCCTGATCCTGGTAGCGCTGGCATGGCCGCACCAGCATCGGTTCACCACCCTCCTGCAGCTCTCGGTCAAAGAACCGATCACCCTACCACTGTTTCCAGACTTGATCTCCCAGGATCACAGACATCTCCTTCATCTGGGTCTTGGATCCATCCACCTGACAACTTGGAAGCTCCATGGCTGAACCCTTTGGAGTTAGTATGCTTGGGACCGGTTCTGAAGGTCCTGTTAGGGAGCAGAAAGCCATCCATCAGGGCCACCTATCTGATGAAATGGAAAAGGTTCTCTATCTGGGCTGGACAGAAGGGGATCTTGCCCACTCAAACTACAAAACCATGTATCCTGGACTAATTGTTACATCTAAAACAAGAGATTGTCTGTGTCTTCGATTAGGGTGCATCTGGCAGCTATCTTGGCCTTCCACCCAGGGTGAGTGGCAGGTCCACCTTCGCTATCGTGCTCTGTAGCTGTTTTCTTAAAGGACTGGACAGACTCTACCCGCAGGTAAAATAGACGATCCCCCCTTGGGATCTTAACTTGGTCCTCCTCAAGACTGACGGGGGCACCATTCAAGCCTTTGGCAACATGATATTTGCTCTACTTATCATGGAAGGTGGCCTTCCTCGTAGCCATCATATTGGGCAGGAAGGTCTCAGAAATCAGAGCCCTCGCTTCAGAACCGCCCTACATAGTTTTCATCAAGGACAAGGTTCAGCTCCGCCCCCACCTGGCCTTCCTCCCAAAGATGGTATTGCAGTTCCACAATAACCAGGACATTTTCCTCCCTGTGTTCTTCCTGAAGCCACCTGCAAATAGCCAGGTAGGTGCTGGCTTTTTACCTAGATCGGATCAGATAGTTTAGGAAGACTACTCAGCTCTTTGTAGCAGTGGTTGATAGGCTGAAGGGCCTCCGAGTCTCAGCCTAAAGAATTTCTTCATGGATTACACTGATCTACAATTTTTGAGAAGTCGTCTGCTTCAGAGATAAAATGTGCTATTTATTATGTATTTTGATGTGCTGAATTCAAATATGACAATTAAAACAACTGGCTACTGTTTCTAAGATATTTAAGTTTTTACATTTTATGTCTATGTATATTGTGTAGATAGTAGAGTTTTAATCATAAATGGTAAACCTAGGTCTTTTCATGTGTTTATGGTTGCTTTACATGATAATATTTCACCTTCCTGTTTATGTAACACTTTAAAAATCAGCAAAAGGGTTATATAAATAAAATTTATTATGAAACAAAAGGTAAAAAACTATTATGTACATAGTTTAGTTCTATTGAGTGTCTACTGGGCACTTCTTGGCTTGTCTCTTGTATTCATTAAATGGAGCATCTCTTGTCACTGTCCAGCAATAGTCTGCAAGCATTGATGGGCTCCATTTGCCCTGATAGCGTTTCTCCATTGTTGCAATGTCCTGGTGAAATCGCTCGCCGTGCTCGTCGCTCACTGCTCCGCAGTTCAGTGGAAAAAAATCTAGATGAGAGTGCAAAAAATGTATCTTTAGTGACATGTTGCAACCAAGGCTTTTGTATGCCTTGAGGAGATTTTCCACCAACAACCTGTAGTTGTCTGCCTCTTGTTTCCAATAAAATTTATTGCCACTAACTGGAAGGCTTTCCATGCCGTCTTTTCCTTGCCACGCAGTGCATGGTCAAATGCATCATCTGGAAGAAGTTCACGAATCTGAGGACCAACAAAGACACCTTCCTTTATCTTAGCTTCACTTAACCTTGGAAATTTTCCACGGAGGTACTTGAAAGCTGCTTGTGTTTTGTCAATGGCCTTGACAAAGTTCTTCATCAGACCCAGCTTGATGTGTAAGGGTGGTAACAAAATCTTCCTTGATTCAACAAGTGGTGGATGCTGAACACTTTTCCTCCCAGGCTCCAATGACTGTCGGAGTGGCCAATCTTTCTTGATGTAGTGGGAATCTCTTGTACGACTATCCCATTGGCAGAGAAAACAGCAGTACTTTGCGTATCCAGTCTGCAGACCAAGCAAGAAAGCAACAACCTTCAAATCGCCACAAAGCTGCCACTGATGTTGGTCATAGTTTATGCACCTCAAAAGTTGTTTCATGTTGTCATAGGTTTCCTTCATATAGACTGCATGACCAACTGGAATTGATGGCAAAACATTGCCATTATGCAGTAAAACAGCTTTAAGACTCGTCTTCGATGAATCAGTGAACAGTCTCCACTCATCTGGATTGTGAACGATGTTGAGGGTTGCCATCACACCATCGATGTTGTTGCAGGCTACAAGATCACCTTCCATGAAGAAGAATGGGACAAGATCCTTTTGACGGTCACGGAACATGGTAACCCTAACATCACCTGCCAGGAGATTCCAATGCTGTAGTCTGGAGCCCAACAGCTCTGCCTTACTCTTGGGTAGTTCCAAATCCCTGACAAGGTCATTCAGTTCACCTTGTGTTATGAGGTGTGGTTCAGAGGAGGAGGATGGGAGAAAATGTGGGTCCTGTGACATTGATGGTTCAGGACCAGAAGTTTCATCCTCTTCCTCTTCCTCGTCTGACTCAAGTGAGAATGATTCTGGTGCATCAGGAACTGGCAGTCCTTCTCCGTGGGGTACTGGGCGTATAGCTGATGGAATGTTTAGATAATGCACAGTCCACTTTTTCTTCTTTGACACACCTTTCCCAACTGGAGGCACCATGCAGAAGTAACAATTGCTGGTATGATCTGTTGGCTCTCTCCAAATCATTGGCATTGCAAAAGGCATAGATTTCCTTTTCCTTTTCCTGTTCAACCACTGGCAAAGATTTGTTGCACAAGTGTTGCAGCATATGTGTGGGGCCCACCTCTTGTCCTGATCTCCAATTTTGCAGCCAAAATAAAGGTGATAGGCTTTCTTAACCATAGTGGTTATACTGTGCTTTTGTGATGCAAAAGTCACTTCACCACAAACATAGCAGAAGTTATCTGCACTGTTCACACAAGTATGAGGCATCTCAGCTCACTTTGGCTAAACAGAAATGTGTCCCTTTGCAAAATCAAACACTGACAAATAAGAGAGCACGACACTGTATGATTTCTAGAGCTGATATAGGGCAATTTGTTCAGCAGAGTGATGTAAGCTTCGTTATGATTGCATCATCCATGACTTCTAGGAATAACATGATGCAATTCATATCATGTATGACGCAATACCAGCTTCAGATTGCATCATTCATTGTTTTGCCTAAAAAGCAAGTACTGTCCAAACCCAGTCATAGATTTATTCATAGATCCAGTTAAAGATGTATTTTAGTCATTTCTGGTTTAAACTGAGATCCCTTCCCTTTATAACTCACTTATCCTCCGCCATTCCCAAATCAAGGGTCGTATATACTGACCCAATAGCATATCTTGAAAACTAGAGCCAATCAACAATTTTAAGCATCATTTTCGTTCTCAGTGACCCAGAATTAGTAAAGTTTGACTACATTTATTTCAGAAGCATTTTGGCTGAAGAGCAGTGTTACCTTGTGTATTCGCATGTGCTATGACTTGGCAAAGGTCCCTTCTCTGGCACTGACAGCACGCTCCACAAGGGCGCAAGCATCTTCACTGGCATTCGTGGCACAGATTCGCATCCAGGATATCTGTAGAGCAGCCACATGGTCTTCAGTCCACACCTTTGCAACCCATTATGCCATCACGCAGCAGGCCAGAGATGATGCTGGATTTGGCAAAGCAGTGCTACAATCTGCTTGTTGTTGAACTCTGAACCCACTTCCTCTAACTGCTTGGGAATCCTCTACATGGGAATGGACATGAGCAAGCCCACAAAGAAGAAAAAACTATTACTAATCTTTCCGTAACTGTTTTTCTTCGAGATGTGTTGCTCATGTCATTCCCAAGCCCACCCACCTACCCCTCTGTCAGAGTTGCTGGCAAGAAGGAACTGAAGGGGTGGCAGGCCCCTCTATGGCACCATGAGGGTGAGACTCCAGGGGGCGCTGGGACTGACCCGACAGATACTACTGAGGGAAAAATCTTCCTGTGTCTGTGCACGCGGCACGCACACACCTACATGGGAATGGACACGAGCAATGCATCTCAAAGAAAACAGTTACAGAAAGGTTAGTAACAGTTTTCTCTGATTTTTTTTTTTTTTTGAGGGTAGAGAAGTAAATGGACAAAGCAGAATGAGTGAGTACCTCTTTTAATAACACTAGTAAGACATGGTCTTACTTTGAGCAAAAAATACCCAAAGTGCATATTTTTATGGATAGTCTTGTTTAAGTCCTGAGCTTTATAAATGCTCTGTCCTGGGATACTCAAAATTGAGCTGTTCTGGAAACTTAACTTTTTTTGTTTGCCTACATATTGGATTTCTGTAATTTAACTGCATAGAGCACACAGGTTCTGCTTCACAAGAAGAATGACGTTAGCTGATTAAAGAAAACTCTTCCGTTTAATAACAGAGGCACATGCCATGCAAAATATTTTATTTTTGTGAAGCCATGTTATAAATATGCATCACACTTGTGTGATTCTAATTTTAAACATGGAAAAACAGGATAAAATTGTGCTATCTCCATTGCTGCACTGTCACTAAAACAATGGTGCAGCAACTTAATTTCCAATTTTTATGAGAGCTGTTTTAGATAGAGTAGCCCTAATAGAAATTGGAGAAAAACCTTCTTTTAGGGTAGGATCTGTTTGTGAAATCCACCTCTGAAGGAGAAGAAATACAGATTGTTTTCTGTGTGCTCCCCTTCCAATTCTGAACTATCGTGGAAAGTGTGACCAGAGCCTGGGACCCTACTATATGTGGATTGGATAACTCTGTACATATCTTCTTGAGAAAGAACAGTAAGAGGATTCTGAACCTTTAGGGAGGCAACAGGTGTGGAATAAGTGGAGGGCTTGGAGATCACTTGGTGGTAGTTTTGTATAAGGCTGAGCACCTTTATAGGCACGCAAGCCCAGATCCTCAAAGGTATTTAGGCTCCTAATTTCAGTGAAAGTAAGGATCCTACACACCTTTGTTGATCTGGGACTTAATGTTTGTTGTAAGTTTCAGTGAGAGAGCTAGTTAAGAGTCAGACAGCTGGGGGGCGGGGGGGTTGGGGTAGAGGATCAGAACTAAGTTGTATGTGTTGGAGAGGTGAGGAGAAAACTTGGTACTGGGCCCAATGCTGGGACAGAACCTGGAAAGGGATTAAATGAATGGGTTGTGTGGGATAAGAGCTCTGATAGTCTGGAGCATAAGCTCCTCAAACTCTCTTTTGCAGGAATTTGCACCCCCCCTTGTTGCCACTTTCTCTGCTGACAGGAAATGCACGTCTTTGAGGGGTCAGGCTGGGACCTCCCTCTTCCTCACTAGCTCTGTCAGCTGCTGGAGGTCCATGCAGAGGAACACAGACTTCCAATAGAGCAGAGTTTTTGGTGCTGTGTAACGAGATGCATCCTGGATGAGGGCCTTTCAGCAGTGGAGTGACTGTACACAGGATATACTTTTGGCTAACTCCATTCAGTTTTAGTAACCACAGGTGTGGTACTTGTGATTATAGTAGGTACAAAATTTTCAGACTGATACTTCTCTTCTAAAGTACAGTTGCCCTTTAAACTTTTTTTCAAGTTCAGGCTTGTTAATATTTGGATTTTTTTAGTGCTTAGAATTTTTTTTAAACTTTACCTTTAGGAAATGGTAGCTGGACTCAACTAAAACTCTTTCAAATTTTGTGAATATGAAGAATTCTTCTAAATCAGCCATTACTTGATTTTTAGGGAGGTCCCTCAAAACCTGATCAGTCTCTTTCAACATTGTGATCGCTGAACTGATAAGTAAAATCTGTGGTTTTGAAGAACCTAACTTATTTTTGCTTGTTTACTTAAAGAAACCCTGGCCGCTGCAAAGAACTTCTGTTGCTTTGTTTTTCTGATTTTATTATTGGACGTTACATTGAAGTAACTGTAATAAATGAAGAGGAATCTCTAATAGCAGCCACTGAACCATTCTCAGTAAGAAAGCATAAAGTTATTCCAGAGTTACAGCACATGAAGACCACAGTGTCTGTAACAGAACACAAAAGGTACTATCAAATAATCCACATTCAGCTGTGTCTAATATGAAGAATATGGAAAGGCATACCTTTATATAATGCTGATTGAAGTAAATGTGTAACTTCAGTACGATAAACTGCCCTGGAACTAAACTAGCTTATCTCCTGTTGTAGCTACTATTCATTCAGTAAACTGGAAAAAGATAAATAAAAATTGGGGGTTTTCTTCAAAGTTCCATTGGCTGAAATAGTTTTTCCTTGTTTAGCAAACTATTTTAACTTTCTTTATAGATGTTTTTCTTATGATTCACAAACTGTCCTGCTGCTGCATGTTATACACTTATGAATGAGTTAGAGGCTAATTAGAATTAAAGGTGTTGCCAGAGCGCACCCACTAGTAGGATTGGTGCAATCTAATTGTGTTTTAGACAGCAAGACAGAAACCCAGGAAGTCCCTTGACTGAATTACTGATATGTGAGATATTGATCAAGTCATTTGATGTAGCTGGGTCTTGACAATACAAACCCTAGAAAAATCTTGAATGAAAAACAGGAAGTGGTCCTTAGATAAGTAAATTTTAACAACAGACAAAATATACTTAACAGATACTCTAAAACTGTAACTAACATTAAATTAAGAACAGGAGTACTTGTGGCACCTTATAGACTAACAAATTTATTTCAGCATAAGCTTTCGTGGGCTACAGCTCACTTCTTCAGATGCATAGAGTGAAACACACAGACAGAAGATATTTATACATACAGAGAACATGAAAAGGTGGAAGTACACATACCAATTGTAAGAGGCCAATCAATTGAGATGAGCTATCAGTAGCAGCAGAAGAAAAAACTTTGAAGTGATAATCGAGATGACCCATAGAAGGTGTGAGGAGAACTTAACATGGGGGGAAAAAAATTCAATTAGTGTAATGACCCAACCATTCCCAGTCTCTGTTTAGACCTAAGTTAATTGTGTCTAATTTGCATATTAATTCGAGTTCAGCAGTCTCTCTTTGGAGTCTGTTTCTGAAGTTTTTTTGTTGCAAAACTGACACCTTCAAGTCTGTCACTGAGTGATTAGAGAGGTTGAAGTGTTCTCCCACTGGTTTTTGAATGTTATGATTCCTGATGTCAGATTTGTGTCCATTTATTCTTTTGCATAGAGACTGTCCAGTTTGGCCAATGTACATGGCAGAGGGGCATTGCTGGCACATGATGGCATATATCACGTTGGTAGATGTGCAGGTGAACGAGCCCCTGATGGTGTGGCTGATGTGGTTAGGTCCTATGATGGTGTCACTTGAATAGATATGTGGACAGAGCTGGCATCGGGGGCTTTGTTGCAAGGATAGGTTCCTGGGTTAGTGTTTTTGTTGTATGTTGTGCGGTTGCTGGTGAGTATTTGTTTAAGGTTGGGAGGCTGTCTGTAAGCGAGGACTGGTCTGTCTCCCAAGATCTGTGAGAGTGAGGGCCTCTTACAATTGGTATGCGTACTTCCACCTTTTCATGTTCTCTGTATGTATAAATATCTTCTGTCTGTGTGTTTCACTCTATGCATCTGAAGAAGTGAGCTGTAGCCCACGAAAGCTTATGCTGAAATAAATTTGTTAGTCTCTAAGGTGCCACAAGTACTCCTGTTCTTTTTGCGGATACAGACTAACACGGCTGCTACTTTGAAACCTAACATTAAATTGTTCACCACAACACCTTCGTTAGTGAGGAAAAAGTTGGTCAGAACGTTTGAAAGTAAAATATGCTTCTATAACAACATTCTCTTCCCCACACCCCACCGCAATGTAGCAAACTTCTGTTCCTGGTTTTTGTTTGAACCTAAGCTGACAAAAGTTTCATTTACTGTACTTGTGTTTTGGTATTGCTGTCTTTGTAGCCTTGAGGCTGGTGTTTGCTAACTTGTGGTCCTTCATGTGAAGCTCTTTTATTTTTTTAAAACTGATGCTTATTTTAGTAACTACAGAATCTTGAGTTTTGTTCTTACTCTTTAGTAAAGAAATCCACACTAACCAGCTAAATTCAGTTTGTAAGAACTACTTTGTGCAAGCTAAATATACTGACTTGAAGTAACTTTGAATTCTTATTTTAGAAGTTGTAGAAGACATCTTCCAAGTTTCCTACCATACTATCCCATACCGGATAGATTAAGAAAATGTGTGGAGCAGAAATTGGACATACTGACTTTTCAACCTCTCCTTGCAGAGGTATGTGTGCACATATATATGCAAGTGTAAAATCGCTCTCTTTGCATCTTTATAAATGCCAACCTGAACACACACACAAATACTCCTGTGTAGCTGCTGCGTTTATATATAATGGTTAAGGCTGCATGTCTATGTCAGATTCCGTGACTTTCCGTGACTTCTGCAATGGCCGATGCTGGCTCAGGGGCTACTTGCAGCAGCAGTTTGGGTGTGTGGGAGGGGGCTATGGGCAGGGGGTTGGGGTGCAGGGCAGCACTTACCTCGGGGTGGGGGGCTCCCCGGCTCCCACTGGCATGTCCCTGCAGCTACTAGCCGGAAGGGCCAGGGGGCTCCGCAGCTCCCGCCCCCACAACTCCCATTGTTGGGGTTCTCGGTCAATGGAGCTACGGAGCCGGCACTTGTGGTGGGAGCAGCACGCGGAGAGCCGCTCATTGCCCCTCCCCCTAGGAGCTGCAGGGACACGCAGAGCCAGGTAGGGAGCCTGCCAGCCCCGCCAATCCTCCCCCTACAGTACCAGCAGGGGTCCTGGGCCGCTGTCCGCCTTCCTTCTCCCTCCCCAGCACCAGCATGGGTCCCGGGCCATGCGCCCCCTCCCCACCCCTCACCCCCCCCAGAACCTTCCCCCCCCATCACCAGCAGAGATCCTGGGTCACGTGCCCCCGCCTGGCAAACCCCCCCAGCACTAGTGGGGTCTCGGGCCACCCCCCCCCCAGCACCTGCACCGCCTCCCCAGAGCACCCGTGGCCCCCTGCCCAAGTTTTAGTTAAGGTTATATAGTAAAAGTCATGGACAGGCCACAGGTCGTGAATTTTTGTTTACTGTCCGTGACCTGTCCATGACTTTTACTAAAAATACCTGTGACTAGATTGATAGATTCATAGATTCTAGGACTGGAAGGGACCTCGAGAGGTCATAGAGTCGAGTCCAGTCCCCTGCCCTCATGGGTATCATGTAGTTCTACAAAACCTAATTACAAAATAAGAGTCTGATCCTGGTAGATGCTTTCTTGACTTTAGTGGGAGTCAGCATATTGCAGGCCCTGAACCAGAGAAGAAATTAGAAGGCCTAGGCAAGTGAGAGTTTGAAAATGGATGGGGAGTATATTAGAGTGCCGTATGGAAAAGGCCACCTCAGATGCCAGAGCTGCAAGAGAATATGTTTCTTGAACTAACAGTGTATGATTGTGGGAAGGAACAGAGAGGAAGTAGGCACAGGATTAACAGGAATAGGTAGGAGGAGAAGGACAGGGTTTGTGAAGTAGGCTGGAGCAACTCTAGAGAGTTTATTACTATACCGCTTTCTGGATAATGCAGTGTTTCACAACTCATCAGTGTCCCAGCTCTTCCCCAAAATTCCCTGTGTCAGGACCTGAGTCTGAATGATTGGAGAGAGAGTTCACAGAAGATTTGAGAGGTTGTGTTTTTTTTGCAGGGGGGTGGGAGAATCTTCTCTCTGGTTTCTGGATTATTTTAAAGGACTGCTGTTCAAACAACATAACGTAAACCAGCGAATTCTCTGGTCACATTCCCTTCATGCAGATTGATAATTTTTATAATCTCCAAATAAAAAATATAAAACCAAACAGCCATAAACATGGCAGCTCTTTGTCTACAGAGCTCAAAGTCCTGGCTTCTGGTCAGCATTTCCTTGTGTCTCTTTCAGAATCACCTAGCTACCTTTTTACGGTCTAAGCGTAACTGCTTCAGCTCAGAGAGGGACTCACCTAGGACTCTGAAATCCCGATTGTGACTTAACCAAAAACCTGTTGTCTGGTTTGACAAGTGGCCTCTGAAGGGTACAACTGAGGCATTGCAATAAGACAGCAGGGCCATGAGACTGCTTCCAAGAAACGCCAAATGACCTGTATGTTCTGACACATGCCAGTCTTTCACAAGCCAAGAACGATCTCTGTATGTTAGCCTTGTGATAAGCCAGGGGTTCTCAAACTTCATTGCACCATGACCCTCTTCTGACAACAAAAATTACTGCATGACCCCAGGAGTGGGCACCAAAGCCCTGAGCCCCACCGCCTTGGGTGGGGCCTGTAACCTGATCTTCGTCACCCAGGGCTGAAGCTGAAGCCTGAGCCCCACCACCCAGGGATGAAGCTCTCAGGCTTTGGTTTCAGCCCCGGTGGTGGGACTTGGGCTTTTGCTTCAGCCCTGAGCCCCAGCAAGTCTAACGCCAGTCCTGGCAACTCCATTAAAACAGGATCACGACCCACTTTGGGGTCCCAACCCACAGTTTGAGAACCCTGTGATAAGCTAAACCTGCTACTAAACATGGCACAGAATGCAGTGACAGTATTTGTTAAAAATCCGCTAGTGCCGCTTCTTCTGCATTCAATAGACAATGCTCATTTCTTTTTTATTTGTGATTTGGGAAAAAGGTGAGAATCGCACTGTAATCTGAATTTAAATCCCTCCTGCACTGTCAGAAATAGTTTAGGGCACAAACAAGATTCTACCATCTCTATCCATCCTGAGCTGCACTCTCCACATCCTCTGTTGTTAAGTCTCATAAGTGATCCCTCTTGGAGTAGTGTTTGACAGGGGGATTCTTTCAATCAGTCCCGTCTTGAGTGTTCCTCCAGCTGTGCAGTGGCACGCCTGCCTTGGCAGTGTAAATGTGAGTAATGTTGGCCAGTTGAAAAATAGGTGGTCTAAAATTAGTCCCACACACTTTTCCCCTAGGAAGTTACAAGGAACTAGGGTAGCCTGAATGCTTTTTGTTGTTGCTGTTGTTTTTAAAAGAGCCTTTTGAACTGCATAAATCAGTAACATTTTTTACCTTATCCATTTCCTGTGAACCAGTAGCTTCCCTGATACCAAGAACTACAATTACTTTGTCTACTTTTTAGTGCCAGTACTGGATCTTGCTTTCTTCTTTTGAAAGTAAGGAATTAAATACAAATAAAAACCACAATATTTTCCTTTTTATTAGTTCTTCTCATTAAAATTATTTTATAATTAAGACAGAATCCTTCTGACTCTTCCAATAGTTCATTCTCTCTTATTTTTTTCCTAGAAGCTCAGCATGTTATTTTAGGGTGCGGGGGTGGGTTGGTTGGTATTTGGTGTTAGAAAAACGCTTTCTGAGAACCTTATGCTTACTTAAAGGTCAAATAAATCTTAGATATTTTTGGAACTACTCGTTTTCGTTACAAAATTAGTAGTGTGATCTAAATAAAATACAGCTAAAACCAGGGTACTTCTGTATTTACCCTGTAAGCTGATTTTTTTAGAGACATCTCTCAGATTATAATGCAAAAAGTGTAGAAGTACTGTGGCTTGGATTTATCAAAGGAACCAAAGGGAATTCTTGAACTTCGATGGGATTTGGGTGCCTAACCAGCTTAGACTCTTCTGAAAATCCCTGTTCATTTACATGAAAATGGTAAATTAAGCCTGATGCTCTTCCCAAATCCCCATTATCACTTGATACCTTTCATTAGAAAGGTACCATGGTCTAGTGGATAAGGCACTGAACTGGGAGACTTGAGTTATGTTTCCAGCTCTACCACTAACTTCTGTGTGATCTTGGGCAAGTCATGTCATTCTGTGCCTCTGTTCTCCCCTTCTTTTGTCTGTTATTGTCTACTTAGGTTGTACACCTTTTGAGGCAGGGACTGTCTTCATATATATGTTGTATGGCGCCTAACACAAGGGACTCAGATTTTTGTTGTGGCTTCTAGACACTATTGCAATACACATAACTTACTTTTTTTAAATTTTCAGCGACTGAATCTGTCTAACTATAAAGCAAACCTTTCTACCCTGCTCTGGCTTGAGGAGATCCATGCTGAAATGGAGATCAAAGAATTTAGCATGAGTGGAATCATTTTGAAAAAGAATGGAAACTTCTTGGTGCTGGAAGTGCCAGGATTGACAGAGGGAAGACCTTCCTTATATGCAGGTGATGGTTTACACTTAATAAAATTGTAAAAGCTGAATAGCAAGATGAGCAATATTCTCAATCTACACAATAGAAACTGATGCATTTTATCTTTTCCATGTTTTCTATTAAAAAACATTTGGAGAGACAGCTATTAACCCTGGCACCTAGATAAATGGAACATTATGCCAATATATTTTATTACAGTGCCTCAGAATGTTTGATTTCTGGAGATGTTATGCTTTGAAGAGGCAGTATATGTGTTTCTGTGTGCTTTCATGGCTTGTCCTGATATATTCCGGATTCTGATGTACAGTAGTAATTGATTGAGTTTTCCATAGAAAATATACTGTCTAGTATTATACTAAACTAGAGAACATGTGAGAGGCTAAATGTAAAACCAGGTTAAAGGAGTTAACTTTTTGAGGTCAGAATTTTTGAAATTCGTTGCAATGTGTAGGATGTTATTTCCAATAAATAGTGCTGAAACTGTGTTAGTAGCATACTACAATAGGTGCCTTAGAAGTATCTCTCTCTCTCTCTCTCTCTCTCTCTCTCACTCACACACACACACACACACACACACACACACACACACACACACACACACACACACACACACACACACACACACACACACAAAACTAGGTATACAAGTTTTAAGAATGTAAGGCTAAATTGAGCCGAGGTGTGCACAAGTGCATCATCTTCAGTGATGTCACTTCACTGGTGAATTTGCAGGATCTTTGAAACTCATTAAGTTTCACTGTATTGCCCCTCCCACCAGTGGCTAGTATTGCAGTGAGAATTTTACAATATCTTGTAACAGTATTTTTATACTAAACGTATTTAATTTTTTTTAAAACTAGGTGACAAAGTGATACTAAAAAGTCAAGACTACTCTGAGCATATAATAGAGTACATTGCCTATGTTACTGAGGTGAGTGAGTTAGCTTTTCTGCTAAGAAACACTGTAGTCCACAAAACTAAGGGGAAACTGAGAGTTAAAGGAGTAATTATTTAGCTTTTGTGAAACTGGATTCATTTCAGTTACCCTCTCCCAAATTATTGATTCTACTTTATTTCATACTGTGTACTTGGAAGACAGAAGCTTTTGCTTCTTCTCAACACTACACATTTCACCCATTAAAAGCAAACTCTGTAAAACTCTTATGTAGAAATATGAAATTATGTGGTAGATGTTATCCATTTTTTGTTTTTACCTAGTATGAGCAAATGTTTCAGGAGATTTTTCAAACATAACAAACATAAGGGATCTGATCCTATGGAGTGCTGAGTGCCCTCAAATCTTACATGACTAATAAACTGTCCTCTCTCTCTCTCTCAGATTCACAATGAAGATGCTACTCTGAGACTTAACCCAGAGTTTGAACGGGTTTACAACTCTGAACCCATGGATGTAGAATTTGCATTCAATAGGTATTTTTGTAGACTTTTAAAAAGCTGTATTTTACTGTCCTTTATTATGTTAGTCTTATTACATGACCATTTGCTTAGTTCTGAGAAGTTCACATGAAGGTGAAGGACAAACAAAATCTTAGAACCGGATAGTCCACTGCCTGGCATCTTCTGTACTCATTTATATCTGTGCAAAATGCTATCAAATCAGAAAGGGGGTGATTTACATTTTTACACCCATTCTTTTACATGTAAATTACTACTCTAGGTGCCAGGCAATGGAAAATCGGACTCTGTAATTGAAATAACTTTATGGCATCAGAGCAGGACAAGAATGGCTGATATTGACCTCACTACATTTTTTTCATATACTGTCAACATCAAAACTTTCTTAGAAAGCATTATTTTTAGTAAAAAATCATCACTTCGTCTTCCTTAATAAAACAAGTTGGGGGTTTTTTACGTTTGTTTTTTAAGGAAAAATATCTTCCTATTCTGCTTATCTCTGAAATTCAAGGAAACTTTTGTCCTTTAATGAGAAACACTTTTTTTCATATTTTATCAATTTTTCTATTTTAAAGTTTAGTGAAATATGCCTGTAAAGGAAACTTGACCAAGTAATCCTTCAGCTAAGTACCACATGAAAATAGGAATTGAGGGAAGAAGTATATGATGTTATAGAGGCTTAATGTTTCATTTAAATCTTTGATATATAGCATTGACTCAGAGAGGAAGTGAGTATTGCTGTATTCTATGGAAACTTTCGTTTTTAGTTTAATCCACACTATTGCTATTCTGTTGACAGGACTACCAGCAGGCGATGCCAGTTTGCAGTTGAACAAGGCATCTATCTGGGTGAAAAAGGTAACCTTCCAATGGGCTAGGGCATTTTTCCTCCCCTTCAGTAAACACTGATGTGAAGTTAATGTACTGTACTCTTCTGGTCAGATTTAAAAACGCAGTGTTTCTCTGGGGCTTCTATCCATTCACCTAAATTACCCCATATCTTTGTCCAGAAAGTAGCAATCCTTTGTCACAGAGCAACCACTATGAAAACTGATTTCCTCTCTGTGGTGTCTATACATGAGGAAAGCAGTTTGACTCCAATTAGAACTAACAAATCTAATCAATTTCTAACTACTGGTGCCACTATGTTTCACACAATGGGTATGTCTTCACTACCCGCCGATCCGGCGGGTAGCAATCGGTCTATCGGGGATCGACTTACCGCGTCTCGTGAGGACGCGGTAAAATCGATCCCTGATCGCTCTGCCGTCGACTCCGGAAATCCACCTCGGCAAGAGGCGGCAGCGGAGTCGGCGGCAGCGCGGCAGCGGTCGACTTTCCCTCGTCCTCACCGCCAGGTAAGCCGACCTAAAATACGCAACTTCAGCTACGGTATTCACGTAGCTGAAGTTGCGTATCTTAGGTCGGAACCCCGCTGTAGTGTAGACCTAGCCTATGTGAAAGAGTTCTGTAGGACTTCCCAGCTTGGGTAAATTGGGAAAAATGCAGGAGGAATATAGGGAAGATGCAGAATTCCTGCTTTCAACTTTTAACTTTTTATGTAATCCTCCTCTGTTAGAGTTGGCTAAATATAATGGCCTTTTTATTGAAAAGAGTTGCACATTTCTGATCAGCTCTACAGCCTACAGAAATGTGAACATGGACTTCAATTTTACCTTCCAATTCCTACCTCACCATACCTAAGGTTTTTACATCAAATTCTCATAAATTGGACACAGCTAATTCAAGTGCAAGGAAAGAAGCTGATGTTTCAGTTATAATTAAACATTGACAGTAAGTATCTTAATGTATCTATATTGATAGAGCCATGTAAAATGCATTTTCAGAACTTTGCTCTTTTTCTCTTTCCCCTTCCTTAAACCCAAAGTGTTATTTCCAGATACTCTGGTTTTACAATCCCCACAAGTTGTCAAGACTTGGAATAAGATGGGATGTCGTACTATTGCTGATGATCATGAACAGTATACCAAGAAGAAAGACATGGTAAATCTACTATAAATGTATTTCTTATAATCTTTTACACTTAATTGGCAACAGTTAGCTACTGCAGATATAGTCTTAGAGAGGACCACAGCACAATAGTGAATGCATTGTTATGTCTGGTGTATTTATGATGTTTTCCTTCTGGTGGTGAAGATCTTGTTTCACAGTTCAGTACTTTGAGTGGGTCAACCTGTGGTCCATGATTTTGGTTTCTGAAAGGGAAACTGCATATGAAACTATGAGTTTGGGTGGCCAGATTTGCTTTAGACTGGTTTTCATAAGCTCCTTTTAAAAAAAAAAAAAAACATAGATACTGGGCAGCAAATCATACTGACTATAGGAGCAAATGAGAATCCTTATTGTGAGGCATAATTATGCTTCCTGATGCGATTGATCCACTCTTGATGTGACTCCTGATTAAATGCATCATAAAAAGAGGTGGATATTTCCTTTAAAATAGCCAAAAATGTACATACTGGCAGTTCTCATCGGGGAAAAAAACAAACCAATGCTAACTTTTGAAAACTCATCCAAATCTGCAGAATATCTGTGCAATTAGCAACAGTGCTTTAAGATGAAGGTGTCATGAGTAACTTTTTTTTTTTCTTTCGTTCAAGTAGGATGTGAGGGTGTTTGTCTAGGTTTTTTCTTTCCTCTTTGTCCTTCTCCTCCCCCCCCCCCTTGCTTTTTCAGTTGATATGCAGTTAAATGGGAGGAAATGCTAAACATTTCTAACCGTCTTAAAAGCATTTCCAAGAGAGAATACTTACTGTACGGTTATAGCCGTGCTTACCCTTGATTTTTTTGTGTGTGTGTGTCTGTCTTCTGTAGTGCTCTTTTCAGAAAAAGAAAATGCAAAATGAACAAACAAAATGCATGGTGCCAAAGGAGAGAAACATAGTGGCTGTGCCTCGAATGGTGACTGTTGCTACACAGACAAGTAAACTGAGTATGTTTTAATATTTTCTTTCCATCTTGTACTGATGTTTTGGATTTGACAGTTGCACTGGTAAACTGGTTTGGAGGATGGAGTGTGTGTGTGTATGTGGTTTTTAAACAAACAAACCAAAGACAACACCCAGATCTTGGTATGTTGAGGAAGTTCCAGAGGACTGGAAAAAAGCTAATATTTAAAAAGGGTTGTTTGGCCTAACATCTGTCCCAGGCAAAATCATGGAAAAGCTGTTACGGGACACAGTCAGTAAATAATTAAAGAATTGTCATGTAATTAATGCCAATCAATATGGGGTTTTTTAATAGAAAATAGGTCTCATCAAACAAACTTGATATCATTTTAGATGAGATTATAAGGTTGGTTGATAAAGGTAACTGTTCACGTGAGATACTTGGACTTCTCTAAGGCCTTTGCCATAGTCTCACACGCCATTCTGATTTTTTTTAAATTAGCACTATACAAAATCTATGTAGCCCTTATTAAATGAATTAAAAACTGGTTAACAAAAGATTGCAAATGAGAATAATTATCCATTGGGGGTATTTCTAGTGGGATCCTGCAGAGATCTGTTCTTGGCCCAATGCTAAGCTTTCTCAATACTCTATCAATGTGGAAAAAAAATATAAAATATAAATATTAGCTTTTTTCCAGTCCTCTGGAACTTCCTCAATGTACCAAGATCTGGGTGTTTTTTTGGTTTGTTTGTTTAAAAAATTTTTTTTAGTTAATCGCGTGAGTTAATTGTGATTTAATCAGTAGCCCTAGTAAATAGTGATGGGGACAGTTCAATTATCCAGAATGATCCAGATGTTACCAATCATTTGGTAAGGTTGGAACATTTGAACTATATGTTTTAATACAGTCAAGTGCAAAGTCATACTTCTATCTAGAAGAAAAGACTGTAGGTCATACTTACAAGATGGTTGACTAAATCCTGGAATGCAGTGACACTGAAAAGGACTTAAGGGTCATGGTAGATAGTTAACTGAACGTGAGTTCACAATGTGATGATATAGCTCAGAGGTGAACGTGATCCTTGGATGAATAAGTAGGGAAAAAATAAATTAGAAGTAGGGAAGAAGCATTACCTCGTTATACAGCATTACTAGAATACTGTGTCCAGTTTTCGTGCTCACGCTTCAAAAAGGATGTTGAAAAGTTTCAGAAAAGAAGAGCTGCAAGAATGATTGGAAGTCTGGAATACATACCTTAGAGTGAAAGATTTAAGAACCTCAAATTAATTAATTTATCTGAGAGAAAGCTAAGAGGTTACTCGATCATAGTCTACAAGTATCTATGTGAGGAAGTAATTTCTTATAGATGACTCTTTAGTGGGGGAAAAACGCATAATGAGATCCAACAGTGGGAAGCTGAAGCTAGACAAATTCTCACTAGAAGTAAGGCACACATTTTAATGTTGAGGATAATTGATCATTGGAACAGCTTACTTAGGAATATGGCAGAATCTTCATCATGTGAAGTCTTTAAATCAAGACTTGGATGTCCTTCTTGAAGATATGCTCTAAAGGTCAAACAGAAGTTATGTATGGGCTTGATGTAGAGTTCACTGGAGTGAGGTTCTTTGGCCTGTGTTATGTAGGAGGTAAGACTAGATGATTATTATGGTCCTTTCTGGCCTTAAAAATCTATGAATGGCTCCTTGCACCTTTGAAACTGAAGGCCCTGTTTTACTATTTTAATTGTTATTACTTGAGATTGGGAATTTAAAGAGTTGTCAGATAAATTTTTAGCTATCACTATCTTTTTAAAATGTTTATAATATAAAGCAGGGGTAGGCAACCTATGGCACGTGCGCCAAAGGCGGCACGCGAGCTGATTTTCAGAGGCACTCACACTGCCCAGGTCCTGGCCACCGGTCCGGGTGGCTCTGCATTTTAATTTAATTTTAAATGGAGCTTCTTAAACATTTTTAAAATCTTATTTACTTTACATACAACAATAGTTTAGTTATATTTTATAGACTTATAGAAAGAGACCCTCTAAAAACATTTAAATGTATTACTGGCACGCGAAACCTTAAATTACAGTGAATAAATGAAGACTCGGCACACCACTTCTGAAAGGTTGCTGACCCCTGATATAAAGTATAGATCACATTAAATCAAAATCTGTTTAACTGAAATACTAATTAAAAAAAAACCTCTCCTTGTGTATTTGTAATGCTCATCTGTTTTGAGTATAGTCAATGGAATCATGACACCTGAACAGAGAGACTGTGAATTTTTCAATCCTGTGCTGAATGAGCATCAGAAATTAGCAGTGAAGAGGATACTTAGTGGTGAATGTCGTCCAACTCCTTATATTCTCTTCGGACCACCGGGAACTGGAAAAACTGTAACAATGATAGAAGCTATCTTACAGGTAATAGTGAACAAACAAGCAAAACAATAATCATCTGGAATTGCCTCAAATACTTATCATATCAAAACTAAAAATAGCTTTAAAAAAAACATGCTAACACTTAGAGGGTATTTCAGTTCAACTCTCTCGTTTTGAAAATAAATCCAAGAGAAGACTTCTGTACAAGCTTGTGTTCATAAACAACATATAGTCAGTCTTTAAATTCAGTATTTTTGTTTAAAGCCCTAGTGAACAGTATTTAACCACCGCTTTAAAAGCGCATACCCTGCATTCATGGTGTGTGTGTTTCAATCTGATGATGATGAACGAATTTCCAGTCTAGGCAAAGATGTTTCCTTGAGATTTGACTGAACTGCAACATGACAAATGTAGAAACATTTGTAATTGTAGTCTAAATAATTCTGAATTATATTAAATATTTGAAATATGTGCTTGCTTTATTTGTGATGAATATAGTTTTTCCAAATGAAATGTTTTAAAAAGCTGCACTTTTTTTAAAATGCAGGTACACTATACTTTACCAGACAGTCGAATTTTGGTCTGTGCACCATCCAACAGTGCAACGGATTTAGTTTGCTTACGACTGCATGATAGTAACCTCCTAAAACCAGGAGCTATGGTCAGAGTTAATGCTAGCTGCAGGTGTGAAGAGGTAAATTTTGTAAAAACTTTTAAATTAAAATACTAAAAAAGGATGCATACTTTTAATCTTAAAATGTTACTCTTAGGACTTTCCTCTGTTTATTAGACTCACTGAGGAAAATACTATTTATATTTTTAGGGTTAAAAATAATTCACTAGATAATCAATTGGGGAAAATACATCAATTGTGGTAAACGAGTTGCTAGAATTTGAGCCTATACTTAAACTCATTGTGTAATGCTTTTTTCCTGCAAGTAGGCCATTTATGTCAACGGGACTACTTCAAACAGTAAGATACTACTCAGTGTTAAAAAGGGTGATAGAATCTTCTGCATAATGCATTGAGTTGTATGTGTGTAACTGAGACAGCGTTCCCGGGGTGCAACCTGGACTAGGGTGACCAGACGTCCCGATGTTATCGGGACAGTCCCGATTTTAGGGGACTTGTCCCGCGTCCCGACCTTACATTGGTCGGAACGCACTTTGTCCCGATATCGGGGGACCGTCTGGTGGAGGACGCAAGCCGGCACTTCCTGGGCCCTGAGGCAGCTCAGTTGAACTCCCAGCGCCTGCCTGCCTGCCCGCCGGCCGGCAGGAGCCTGCAGAGTGCTGCAGCCCCACTCCCCACGCACGCACAGAGACGGCAAGGAGGTCTCCACTGTGTGCTGCAGGGGCAGGGGGGCTTGTAGGTGCCGGCAGCGAGCCCCCCGCCCCTGTCCCCGACCCGAGCGACCTTAGGAGCCAGAGGGACAGGACCTGCCTGCTGGATGCTCCATGGGAGCCGCTCCAGGTAAGGCTAGCACTGCCTGGGACTCACCTGGCCCCCTGGCAGGTCCCTCTGGGGGGGGGCTCTGTGTGCTGCCCCCCTCCCTCCCCGAGGGGGGCGGTGGAAACGGAGCGGGGCCCCGCGGGTGGGGGTGGTGCCGCCGGTGGGTTCTAAGTTTTCCTGCATTTACACAGACATCCACAGGCAGGGACACACCCAACTGAGTTACATGAATGCTTTGCCAGCCACTGATGAATCAACAATAGAGAGGCTCCTTCCCAGCCTTGCTGCACCTCAGAACTGTCCCATCTTGCCCTGGTCAAAAGCCTGATCAGTGTAAGTTCATTACCCAGTCCATATCTCCCTCGATGTGGAGAGGACACACACTAGCCTTTGTAGACTGAGCTGAGATTTCCCAAGCACTTAAAGGGGAAAAAAAGCACATTGTTTTAGGTAAAATATAAAACAGATTTATTAACTACAGAAATAAATTTTAAATGAATATAAATAGCAACCATAGAGATCAAAGTTGGACATTTAAGAAACAAAAATAAATTTTAAATCTGAGATCTACACATTTAAACAGGATTTGAATTAAGCAGTCTCTCACCCTGACAGATGGTGCAAGCAGGTTACAGATCCTCAACATGTAGGCTGGGACTCTTTTCCAGCCAGGGGCCAGCTTCCTTAGTTCAAAGTCTTTATCCACCAGGCGTTTCTTCCAGGTGTTGAGTTGCGGGGGAGAGAGGTCCAGTAATGATGTCACTTCCCCTCTTTTTTATAGTTTCTTCCAGCTTGCTGCAAAGATCTATGTTTGTGATGTAGGGGTCTGCCCCTATTGGTCGAGCAGTCTCCATTGTCTGTGTGTTCTCTCTGAGAAGTCTCCATTGTATACAGTTTCTGGGATAATGGATTCTTTCCTTGATGTGTGTTGATGAGCCATTAACCTGTCTGGCTGTCTGGCTGAGCTATTAACCGCTGTCTGGCTAATCCATAGTTGTACCTGAAAGGCTGTTTGTGGGTGTTCCCATCTTCAGAACATATTTTAGTAACACATACATAGCAAAACTTCATAACTTCACATACAGTGATAGCACATACAATCCAACAGGATATTAATGATCAACAGATCAAGACTTTTAAAATGATACCTCAGAAAGCATACTTTGTATGAAACATATCCTAATTATATGACAATGGTGAATATGGGAGTTTCAGGGTGGCACTCTGAGGTACAGTGTGTCCGGTGGCGGGGGGAGGCGCCTCTTCCCCAGCCAAGGACCTACCACGGCGGGGGTAGGCGCCTCTCCCCACCAGCCCCAGATCAGCTGGGGCAGAGGCATCCCAACCCAGCCCCGGACCTGCCATGGCTGGGGGAGAGGCTCCCCTCCCCGATCCCAACCCGGCCCGACCCAGACCTGCTGCGACAGGGAGAGAGGCACCTCTCCCCCCCCCCCCCCAGCCCAGGTGCTGCTGCGGGGGGTGAAAGCTGGGGGGAATCCTCTCTCCCCGCCATAGCCCTGGGGCAGCCTGCACCCCAAACACCTCATCCCTGGCCCCACCCCAGAGCCTGCACCCCAAGCCAGATCCCGCACCTCCCCGTACGCCAAACCTCTGACCCAGCCCTGAGCCCCTCATTCCCAGAACTCATTCCCAGAACCTGCACCCCCACCCCACCTCCACCTTTTGACCCAGCTCTGAACTCCCTCCCACACTCCAAACCCCTTAGCCCCACCCCCGCCACATGAATTTTGTTATGTGCACCAATATGGAGGTGATGTGTCATTCTGCACCTGCGTAGGAAAAACTAGAGGGAACACTGCCCCCCCCAGGGTCCCTCCGCCCTGCTCCTCTTCCCCTTCAGGCCCTGGGCAGGCCGGAAGATGGAGCCTGGGGTAGGGTGAGCATATACCCCTCCGTCCCCCATCCCACACAGAGCTGGTCCAAGCCTTTCTCCTGCCTCCTGAGCTGGTCCAAGCCAGTAGCCCAAGTCCCCCTCTTGCCCTGTGCAGGGCTGGCCTGAGCCCCATTGCTCACCACCTCCCCGACCCCCTTTTTGGCAAAACTGGTTGGCAAGCGCAAATGGGACAAATGCCCAGTTTTGCCAAAAAAGTCAGGACATCTGGGGCCAAAATGGGATGTATGGTCACCTTAGGCTGGGGTCCCCAAGCTTTTTCCGTCATGCCTCCACCCCTCCCCAACCACCCCCTCCCCTTGCAGGAACTGGGGGCCAGAGTTGTGGCTGGGAAGTGGTCTCTCCCCACCCCCCCGGGGGCTGATTTGGGCCCTGCCATGCCCCCCATATGTTCCTCTCTGCCCCCCTGGGGGGGGGTGCCCCACAGTTTGGGGACCACTGCCCTAGGCTGGTAAGAGCCACCCAGAAAACTGTGGGGAGCCCCGGGCCCTCCACTTGGGCGGGGGGCGAGAACAGCCCCTAGCCCACGTCCCTGCCACCCAGGGTGCGCCACCCAGGGCAGGTGGAGGGTCCAGGGTTCCCCACAGTGGCCCGGGTACCTTGGGCAGTTCTTACCATGGCCCAGCTTCCAGCTAGGCCAAGGGGCGGGGCCTTGGGTCAGGGGGCAGGGGCGGATGTGAGGGGCCCAAATGTTCTTTGGGCCCAGGGCCCCAGTAAATCTTAATTTGCTTCCTGAGAGTGTCACAGTAACATACACATCTATTTACTTATTTTAATAATCTCTTCGGTTACGTTCATAACACAAGAACGTATACCAGAACAGACTAATGGTCTATCTGCAGTAGTGGGTATCCTGGTTTGAGTTGTGACTTATATTGGATGCCTAAAGTCCTGCACCTCGCCATGTCCTGAAACAGAAGTAATGACAACCCTTGTCATTTTGTCATTTTGTCCTAAATAGTGATGCTGCTGATGGGTTTTTTCTTTATGAATTCTTCTTTTTAATTTTACTAAGTTTATTTGGTCAAATAATATGCAGCAGGAATTTCCCAATGGTCAATTATTCATTGCATTTAAAAAATTTTTTTTTTTGTTGGCACTGTTTGTGTGGTTTTCATTTTGTCTTAAGTGGGCTTTACATTTTTTTTTCACCCTTTAATGTTGTGTTCTTGTGTTGTGTCACAGAGCAATTGATCTTTTCTTTGACGGTCATTATTTTATGTACATCTCCTCTTAGAGCTTGTCCTTACATGGAGGGGCAATGTGCCCTTTGAGGGTATTATTTCTGAAGGGCACTAACATATTGAGCATTAATGGGTCCACGTAGACCCTGCTGGTATGCATAAAAGGTTCCCTAGTGTGCTTTAATGTAGTGCTCACTGGGGAACCTTTAGTGCATATCAGCAGGGTCTACACAGACTGATTAATGCACTACATATTAGTGCACTTTAGAAATCACACCCCCAAAGAACACATTACACCATCATGTAGACAAGCCCTTATTTTTTTCCAAACTAATGAAGTCTAAATTTATTTACAAAGGGAGATATGGACTACCTTCACAGCCCTTTTTGACAGTTTCTATTTGTGCTGTGTCCTGGTTGTACATATGTTCAAATTTGATCTTACAAAACTAAGAATAAAGAAAATAGTCTTATTTTCGTAGTAAAAATAAAGCGGTTTATTTTGCACTCCTCCTCCTTGTTTGGGCAAACTCAGGAAAAACTCACCTCAAAGTGCATTGCTGGGTCCAAGAAATACTTAAAGTAAAGCTTCTAAAATAAAATCTTATTAAAATATTTTTGTGCATAAAATATTTAGTGATTTTGAACTTCAAGCTAGCCTCTAGAACTTACACATCATGAGCTTGGTGTGTGGCAGTTTTATAAAAAATACCTGTAGTAAATAAGTGTCTTGTGTTTTCAGACAATCAGTGATACAGTAAAACTTTACTGCAAAGATGGTGACGATATTTGGAATGCATCACGGTTCAGGATAATAATTACCACATGTAGCAGTGCAGGAATGTTTTATCAAATAGGAGTAAGGTACTGTGGATGGATGTCATTAATAGATTTGGACACTTGGGGTTATGAAATCAATATGGGGGGGCACTCTGCAAAGTAGTTTAATCTGTTTAAACAGGGCAACTGTTAACAAGTAGTAGTAAAACATTGCATTCCCAGCTTAAGCTTACAGCCATATTAAATTTTAGTTAGCCCTTTCAGCATAGTTGAACTACAAAATTATCTCAAATGACATTATTTTCAAAATACGTAATTTAAAGATCAAAATCCCATCAAAGTGAGGAGACTGTTTGGCACTATTGTGATTCCCTGGCAGTTATGTGTATTGCCAAGGACCAACTGTAATTGAAAGCATTTTAGGAGTTAACACTGTAGGGCATGCTGCACTTGGAAGCAAGAACACAAAAACATAAGAATGGCCGCACTGAGTCGGACCAAAGGTCCATCTAGCCCAGTATCCTGTCTTCCGACAGTGGCCAATGCTAGGTGCCCGAGAGGGAATGAACAGAACAGTTAATCATCAAGTGATCCATTTCCTGTCGCTCATTCCCAGCTTCTGGCAAACAGACGCTAGGGACACCATCCCTGCCCATCCTGGCTAATAGCCATTGATGGACCTATCTTCCATTAATTTATCTAGTTCTTTTATTAACCCTGTTATAGTCTTGGCCTTCACAACATCATCACAAGTAATGCTGACTAAGTCATTTTTTGGTTATTGCTGCTATAGCACTTAGCTCCCTTGAAACCATGTGTGTCTCTCTCTTGTTCTTGCTGCTACCTGCACAACACATGCAACCCTAGCATTGCTGTGCTGGAACACAACACAGAGAATGTCAGCTCTAAACTAATGGCATTCTCCAGGTTATATGGGGTGGGGGGGGCAAAGGGAGGGTGAGGAAAAGTGTGATTTCTATGTCAACTTAAATTTTCTATTCTGACCAAGTTAAAGAAAAAGATAGGAAATGTTTCTGATATATATCTTTCAAAATATGTGACATGTCACAAATGAGGGCCAAGTTTATTAGGTTTTTGCTTTCTCCCCGGCAATATTTTAAAGCTGTCATGTGTTGAAATACCTTTCATGTTGAAGATGTGACTGCATATAGCACACAGACTTGATCCTTGTAATTTTTTTTCAGAATTATTTTGCCAGGTCAACCACAGGGTGGCAGAATATACTAACCCTAAAACAGCTGTCTGAAGTGATTTTATTTAACTCTAGGCTTGGGCATTTCACACACGTATTTGTGGATGAAGCAGGACAGGCAAGTGAACCAGAATGCTTGATTCCACTTGGGTTGATTTCAGAAGTTAATGGACAGGTATGTATTTAGTGTATGTATGTTTTTTAAAAAGGGTTTTAGGCTTGCTTTTTTCACTTCCAGTAACAACCTCATATTTCTAATGTGATCACTTCATGGCTAGTGATAGGATAAGTTGCTATTTCCAGGAAATGATCGTGCAGTTCTGGGAACTTGTATTAGAGCTTGTTAAGTGTATTGTATAGTATTATGTTGTAAATACATGTTGCCACTTAATTTGAAGTTCTTAAGTTTTAAACATATGCTCTAATTTTCAGCATTTTCTACTCTTAAGTAATAGTTTTGAGTACTTTTCATAATAAATACTATCTTGCTAAAACATATTTGTTCTTTGAGTGCTTGCTCATGGTGATTCCATTCTAGGTATGCGCGTGCCCATGTGCGTGGTCGTCGGAGATTTTGCCTTAGCGGTATCCATACGGCCAGCTCTGGTGCCCCCTTGAGTGCCACGCTCATGCATCGGTATTTCAGGCACCGCTGGTCCTATGCCCTCTCAGTTCCTTCTTACCGCCCATGGTGGTTAGTCGGAGCGCCTTTCCTCGCATAGCAAGGGCTAGCAGTTTCATCTCTTCTGACTTTGAGCTTTAGGGCCTTGTAAATAGTTTGTTATAGTAGTTAGTGTTAAGTAGTTGTTAGAAGTTAGAGTCCCAGTGGGGACTTCGCCCCAGGCAGGGCATGCCCCGGTCTCTGGGGTTTAAGCCCTGTGCGGACTGTAACAGGCCTATCCTTGTAAGTGACCTCCACAGCAGCTGCCTCAAGTGCTTGGAGGAATCACATGTGAAGGACAAGTGTCATATTTGTAAAAATTTTCAACACAGGACTCAGAAAAAACTGGATACTCGTTTGGAGCTCTCCTCATGGAGGCTGCCCTTTGTCCAGCTTCTGAGCCGTCCCGCCAAGACTCACCTAGTACCTCGCCCTCGGTGCGCAGCGCACCCCCAGCACCGAACTTACCCCTTAAAGGATCCATCACTGACTCCTGGGAGTGGTAGGGGACCCAAACTCGTGGCAGCATCAACATCTTCCCAACCTCCCCTGGCACTGAGAGAGCAAATGCCTCCACCATCACCGCAGGAAATGGCAAAGGCTCCCCACGAGGGCAAGCTATCCACTAAGACCCCTCAGGGGGCAATGGAGCACCACCAATCCCCTGAGACAAGGCAGTGCTCTCCTCCGTGCCACAGATCTCTGGAGTCGCAGCTCAGATCCTCTGGGGTTCGCCCTCTGTCTCCGGCACCACAATCGTGATCCCCACCATCTCAACGTGGATTGCCTAAGGGGAGGCACTGGTCTCTGTATTGCCGGCACCGTTCATCTTCTCGCCAGTCATCCTCTCGGCGCAGATCTCAGTCGCCAGCCCCGTGGGAGTGCTCCCTGTCACAACTCCGGGCCCCTCGATACCGACGCCGATACTCTCACTTCAGGCACTGGTCTCCAGCAACAGTCAGCAGGCACGCGGGTGTAGATGGCCCACAGTGGTCACTAGAAGGGGACTCCTCCGGCACAGAAGGGCAGTTCAACCCCTCGCCCAGAATCCACCAGCGCGATTGGGCTCCCGAGGCTGTCTCAACATCGGCGCCACCTTGGCCGCACGGCCAGTGGCCAGCGCAGTAGCCTTATTGGACTGCATGGGGCATGCCGGTCATGACGATGCCCCCTTTGCACCAGTCATCTGCCACTGCCTCGGAGCAACAGTTGGCAGTACCGATGGCACTGGACTCAGTGCATGAGTCGTACTCAGAGGTTGGGGTAGAGGTGGCTGCACCCACCCCTAAACCTCCCCTAGTGGTACAGTCGTCATCTTATCCCTGGACCAGGCGGTCGCGGGATACTTGAGGACCCGCCTGACAACTTTAAAGAACACCAGGCCCTGCTTCAACGGATGGCTGAGAACTTAGGCCTAGAGGTGGAAGAGATGGCTGAGCAGGCAGACACCTTGTTCAACATCTTCTCAGCCTCTACCCTGGCCCATATTGCACTATCAGGGCATGATGGAGGTCCTCAAAATTGCCATGGCCCTCTGTCAAACCCCATCTTCCATCCCTCCCACCTCCAAAAGGGCCAAAAAAAGTACTTTGTCTTGGCCAGAGTGTTTGAGTATCTTTTATACCTACCCACCTCCGGGCTCACTGGTTGTCTCTGCAGCCAACAAAAAAGACAAGCAAGGGGACACCAGCTCAACTCCCAAAAATAAAGTGGCCAAAAGACTGGACCTTTTGGGGAGAAAAACTTATTCCACTGCAAGTCTTCAGTTCCGGGTGGTGAACCATCAGGTCCTCTTGGGCAGATACAATTTTACTTTATGGGACTCCCTCCATGAGTTCAAAGAGTCCCTCCTGCAGAGTTTGGCTAAGAATTCGGCACCCTGGTGGAGGAAGGCACCATAGTGGTTAGGTGCTCTCTCCAAATGGTGTGGGATGCAGCAGGCATGGTGGCTAGGCTGGTCGCAATGGTGGCGGTTATGAGGCGCAGCTCCTGGCTTCAGAGCACCGCCTTTTCCCACAAGATGCAGACCTCGATCCAGGACCGTCCATTCAATGGGAATGGTGTCTTCTCTGAACAAACGGATGCAAGGCTGCATGGGTTGAAGGACACTCGGGCCACCCTTCACTCGCTGGGCATGCATACACTGCAGTCTGTATGGAAGCAGTTCTGGCCACCCCCCGCCGCCCAGGCCTTGGCAGCCTCGTCAAGGTCTGCTAGGAGAAAGGATAGAGACACAAGTTTTATCATCGCCGCCCTTCCTCCTGCCACTCACCCGCACAGCCCGGCCCAGCGAAGCATCCTGCGGGCCAGAAGCACTTATTTTGAAGGTGCACTCAAGAGCAACACCCCAGTCAATTCCCCAGATCCACCCGGTCCTTTCCTTCGTCTTCGTCCCTACCATTCGGCCGGGGTGTGGGTCACCTTGGACCGCTGGATGCTGGACATCATAACTCAGGGCTATACCCTTCTTTCCAAAGCCTCATGCATCAGATGAGAGCAGACTACACATCCTGGACTTCTGGAGGGCACTGGCCTTCTATATAGATAGAACAAGGCTGTTCCATAAGTCAACGCAGTTGTTCGTTGCAGTGGCAGACAGAATGAAAGGTCGCCCAGTGTCTGCTCAGAGGATTTCATCCTGGATCACGGCCAGCATCCGCTACTGCTATGAGCTGGCAAAAGTGCCTCCACCGGTGATCATGATGGCATACTCGACTAGGACACAAGCGTCGTCAGTGGCTTTCCTGGCACAGGTAGCAATCCAAGAAATCTGTAGGGCCGCTACCTGGTTGTCTGTCCATACGTTCATGTCTCATTTTGTGCTTACCCAGCAAGCTCGAGATGACACACTGGCTTTGGCAGAGCAGTGCTGCAAGATACAAGACCATGAACGCTGAGCCCATCTCCATTGATACTGCTTGTGAGTCATCTAGAATGGAATCGACATGAGCAAGCACTAGAAGAAGAAAAAACAGTTACCTACCCTTTTTGTAACTGTTCTTAGAGATGTGTTGCTCATTTCCATTCCATTACCCACCCTCCTGCCCCTCTGTTGGAGTTGTCGGCAAGAAGGAACAGAGAGGGCGTAGGGCCGGTGGCGCCTGATATACTGACGCCTGAGCATGGCACTCAAGGGGGTGCCACAGCTGGCCCTACGGATACCGCTAAAGCAAAACTCTCCAACGACCACATACATGGGCGCGTGCACATCTAGAATGGAATGGACATGAGCAACACATCTCAAAGAACAGTTACGAAAAAGGTGGGTAACCATTTTTTTTCAGGTGCAAATAATTATGTTGTGTCATATTTTTTCTTTAAAAGAATAAAAACCTTGTAGATTTGTGCAGTAAAGTCAGCCATCAAGTTAATCATTACTTTGCACCTTCCTTCCACCCACTGAATAGTGTTAGACATTTGAGAAAGAATGTCTACGGTATTGTAACAGCAATTGATTTTTTTTTTAAACTCTGTTTTAAAAAAAAAAAAGTATTCATCTAACTTTGTGTCAATTCTAATACAGAAGCGGGTTTTTACTGCTTCTGCAGATAGTGCTTGCTGGAGATCCGATGCAGTTAGGACCAGTAATAAAATCTACCCTTGCAATGGCTTATGGATTAAATATATCCATGCTGGAAAGACTAATGTCACGATCTCTGTATCAGAGAAATGAGGATACTTTTGGTGTTTATGGATCGTACAATCCTCTGTTGGTAAGTTAAACTGCAGTTTTCTTACTATTATTAAAAAAAAAAAAAAAAAAATAAAATTACAAAAAAAAAAAAAAAAAAAAAAAAAGTGAACTGCCCTAAGAAGAAAAAATGTGTGGATGGGGGAGCGGTGGTGTTTCACTTGTCTTATTCCTTTCTTTATACATCAGAAAGCAACACCAAGTTTGGTCTTCTGTGGTTTTGTTGGAAGATTTGAAGATTTCAAGTGTGTATTATGAGTTTTTTCTTGTACCTTATTTATTAAAGATTTAACATGTCTACCCCTTCAAAGATGGCTTTTTCCCTCAACTATGTGTTTAGACAGTGAGTAATATAAATATTGGGGGGGGGGAAACAAAATGCTTAACATTGACTTAAAATCCCTTCTCTTTCCCATTATCCACCTTTCAGGGCTTGTCTCAATGAACACTTAGTTGTGGCAAGCTGGGATGTAAATCTACCCTGCAGTAGCCTGCTGTGCACTGTGTGCATGTGAAACTGCTGCTGCTCACTAAAAGTTCTTCTTTGAATGATTGCACATTCCACTCATGTGCCCGCCCAGTGATCCCAAATAGTGATCACCATACACGCTCCCTTTTGTGCCTTGGCAAGGGACACATTAGGAGGGGTGCAATATCTGCCGTTTGCTCAAGAAAAGAACGCAGATTTCCAGAGACATGTGCCTGTTCAGCGCCTCATGGAGCATGTGATAAGGACTGCTTCAGTCCCAAGGCCCTTAAGCAAACACCCTGCCACCCTTGTGCAGACCGCTGCTGCGGTTGTCTCTGACAGACCTCTGGACTTGGAGAATCTTCTCCACGGAGAAAGAAGGGTTAGCTTTCCTCTCAGGGGCTTACCCAAAAGAGGGGACATGACAGATCAAAACCCCTTGAAGTTGAAGAAATATCCTATTCAAAAAAGGACTCAGAACATCATTGGGACTCTTTAGGTACTCATGGTGGAGCAGGGCCGTTGACCCATGTCCCCCTGATACCATGGATATCTGTACTATGCCGTCAACTCCGGTACCGTCATCAGGACAGCCAGTGGATGCTGTTTCAGTACTGACAACCTTGCAAGCTTATGAGGCAGCAAAAGATTTGTTATGCATCTCCATCCCAGGCTGTCCTGTGAAGCAGGAATCTATTGCACTGGCATTGCTTTTCTTATATCAGGCCCATCTGTCTTCTCAGCTCCTGTGCAGAGACTGTTAGCAGTATCAGTATCTGTTCAAGCTAATAAATATGGCAGGGACTCAGCATGTTTGTACCCTTCTTGGCCTCGGTAAACAGCATGTTGGCACCAGTACATTCTTCAGCCCTGGTACCAGAATGATCGTCAAAGTTGAGTACTGATTTACAGTTGATATTGTGGTACCAACTACAAGGTCTTTCTCTGCACGGATTCATGATGCCATATCTTCGCCATTTCAGGGTGCCACTGCAGTATAGACTACCTTACTTAGGTACCGATGTTGGTCTCTTTATAATGGGCCACAGATAACTCAGGTTGCCTAGTGGCCCCATCAGTCTTTGCACCTCCAATGACCACTGACTACTCAGATGGCTCTTCGGAGTCTCTCTGGGAATATTCTGGTAATTTGCCATCCCCTCCTAGGAGCAGTGAGTCTAGCAAGATGTCTAGGCAGCCTCTGAAGGGCTGCATTGGTTCTGGGAGTGGGACCAATCGTTCATCAGAGAGAGATCCTCAAGGCCTAGTACTTACTGCCTGCCCATGTCTTTTTGCTCACCCTCAGTGGCCTTTTTTGACCCCTTGGGGTGCTTTGTGATTTCTCCCCCCCCCCCCCAGATCTCTATTATTTACCAACCTCAGGGCAGACTGTTAGGAACCAGGGCACAAACCCCAAATGGGCTGTGAGTTCTAACTTAGATTTCACCAACCAATATCAAGTGAACACTTCTCAGGTATTATAATGACCTTAACATGGAATCACAGACCGTTCCCTTGGGTACGCTGATCTCTCTCGCCACCCAGCCCTTATACCAAGAATCACCACTCTATTCAGGTTACTCACAGTCCCAAAGCACTAGTCACTTACCACAGGTCAGTTGCACCCTAGATTTAACACCAAAGACAATGCTTGTGGCCAATCCTATAATAAAGTATATAAAGATTCATGAAATATTAAAAGGAAATTACAAGGTTAAAGCAAGCAAACAGACACATGCATGAATTAGTCTTCAGTTTCAAAAGGCAATATAGACTTCTATAATCAGCACGCTCTATTTGAGCTTTAGGGCTAACTCAGGCTAAGCAGCTGGGGATCTCTTGCTTATGCCTAGATACACCTTGCTGCCACTGCTCCCCCCCAAGTCCAAGCAGCATAGAGATACCTAGTTCTTCTTCGAGTGATTGCTCCTGTGTATTCCACAGTAGGTTTGTGTGCTCGCCATGTGCACCAGAGCCGGAAGTTTTTCCCTTAGCAGTACCCGTAGTGGGGGAGCACTGCTGCGACCCCTGGAGTGGTACCTCTATATTGCGCTATAAGGGGAGCTGCGCACTCCCCCCACCCTCAGTTCCTTCTTGCCGCCAGTGAAGGTAGTTGGAACTTTGTGCTCCAGCTCGGCTGTAGCACTTCTAGCCTTAGTAGTACAACTCTTCTTTGTAGCTTGATTCTCTAGTTAGTTGCCTGGCTTGGGGCATGCCCCAGGCTTCAAGTCGTGCGACTCCTGTCGCAGTTCTATGCCCAGGAGCGATCCACACAGTGTCTTCATTGTCTGGGTGAGACTCACGTAAGTGAGCGTTGTAAAATTTGCAGATCGTTCAAACCGAGAACAAAACGTGAAAGGGATATCCGTTTCCGGGCCCTACTAATGGAGTCGGCATTGGCCCCGGCACCGACGTGCCGACCTGACTTGGCGCCGAGCGCGTCATCGGTGCGGAGCGCCATCCCATCAACCAGTCGGCACCACTCCCCCGCTAAGAAGCAAGGGAAGACTCAGCGGCGCCGAGAGAAGGACAGGGATGAGGCCACACCTGAGTTGGGCAGCCCACAATCCCCCTCGGGACCCAGACCTCCGACTTGTGCTGAGCGGAGTAGTCCAGTCCCGTCAGCGCGTGCCTGTCCTGCGATGAGAATACCGTTGACACCGGAGGCAGCTCAGGCAACGTGTGACATCCTCGCCCTTTTGGTGGCAGGCGCGCCGCCCGAGACAGGCCCTCGCTCCCGAGGGAAGCCGCCGCTTGGAGCTCATCAACCCTCCCCGGTCCAGCATAGCTCCCACTCTGAGGATGAGGCACCTACCCAGGCGAGGCCATCTCGTAGCCCGCGTCAGACCCCCACGCCGTCAGCCTCTTCGTCTGAGAGGGAGTCCCGAGCGTCCTCCACTACCCAGAGGGGTTGCAGGCACCAAGACAAGAGGCGGTGACGCTCCTCTTCCTACCGGAGCTATAGGAGCAGGTCTCTACGACATCGGGACCGACGCTCACATTCGAGTGCTCGCTCCGACAGACGTCGTTCGCGAAGCACCCCTCGGCCGGCACCATGGCGTCGTAGCCATGGTCGCCATGGGGACTCTGGACGCAGTACCTCTGACGGGAACAGGTCTTCCTCATGGAGATCTAAATCTCGAGGCAGGCGCCGACACGGCCGTGGACGCTCCCGTCGCTCGTACAGCACCATGCACTCTTCAGCGGCTTCGGCACCCAGCCACCCATCCCCGAGCCGCGACGTACCGCATGATCAGGTGGCTCCGCTAGGTCCCCAAGTGGGGCACTAGCAAGGGGCACCCTGGCCTGGCAAGGGCAGTGGTGTCCGTGGGTGCCTTGGCCCCAACTGCCGGCACCGGCGAGACCCCGTTTGGTAGCAGGTGCATCGCAGTTGCATTCGACGTTCCCATCTCGGCACCACGACAAGGTACTGGGCACCGAGACAACGGCACCGTACCCAGGCTCGGACTTGGGGGTCGAACCACCGGCACCACCTGATGCCCTGGGGGCAGATCCGGTCCTGGCACTGGAACAATCTATTGCGGTGCCACCACCTGCCTTGCAGGAGGATTTTAAAGCTCACCAGGAGCTCCTTAGGTGGGTTGTCTCGAATCTCCAGCTCCAGGCTGAGGAGATGGAGGACCTGTTGGACACTTTGTTCAACGTCTTGTCCTCCTCAGCACCGGGCCATGTGGCCCTACCTCTCCACCAAGGGGTGGCCAATATTTCAACTTCGCTTTGGCAAGCCCCTGCGTCCTTGGCGTCTATTTCTAAAAAGGCGGGGAGAAAATACTTTGTGCCAGCAAAGGGGCACGAATATTTGTATTCTCACCTGGCCCCGAATTCTCTGGTGGTGGAGTCAGTAAACCACCGAGAGAGGAATGGCCAACCCGCGCCCACTCCCAAGGATAAAGACGCCAGGAGATTGGATACCTTTGGCAGGAAGGTTTATTCATCGGCGAGCTTCCAGCTCAGGGTGGCAAATCACCAAGCCCTCCTCAGGAGATATGATTTTAACTTGTGGGGGTCTCTGCCAAAATTTGAACCTCTTCTTCAGGAAAAGGATAAGAAGGAGTTCAGAGCTTTGGTCGACGAAGGCGCAGCGGAGGCAAAAGTGGCCCTCCAAGCGGCTTCGGACGTGGCAGATACAGCAGCCCGTTCGATGGCCTCCGCTGTTGTCATGTGCAGGGCATCGTGGCTCGCGCTGTCAGGACTGTCTACGGAGTCCCAGTCCCTCATGCAGGACTTGCCTTTCGACGGGAAGGCCCCATTTGCGGATCAGACAGACACCTGTCTACACGGGATGAAGGACTCCCGCATCACCCTGCAAATCCTGGGCCTATATGTCCCACCGACTAAGGACAAACCCAGGCCACAGACCTCGGTTCCTCGGCTAGAGGCAGATATGAGCCCCCGCCTCCCCGAAGGAGCAGAGACGCAGGTCCCAGCATCAGTCCCTCTCGGCCCCTCGATCTGGGCTCCTCAAGGGCAAGAGGCAGGGGAAGAGATGCTTTGGACTTTTTTCGAGGGGCCACTGGGCCTGTTGCCAGGGA